ACTGATTAACGCTTTTAACATTTAGCGACTAGAAAAAGCTCCGAAACTTGATAATAATTATATTTATTTAGATCGATATTAAATTTTATTCTTTTCGCATAATTAAAATAACAAGTAGAAAATTTAGAAGCAGATATTAAGTAGAATCAATTTTTTTGCGTTACTAAAATCAATGTCTATATATATTCTTCTCGTTTTCCTTGCTTTCTGTATTTTTTCATTACGATTGTTAAGTCAATTTATTATTTATTTATTTATAATTTATATACAGAAACAGTCTCAATATATAAAGCGAATTGCATTGCGTCCAAAGAGAGAAAATGCAACATTCGAGACGAGATTACAATATCATAAATCAACGACAGGACATGTAACAAAGTACAAGGAGAGTCATCGTTAATACCTATATACGTTTTCTGTATGTCGGTGATATTCATGTCCACTTAATCGTAAAAAAATATGATTTGTACAAAACCCCTTGTTCAAGATTTGTGCCAAACAAGAAGAATATATTAGTCACTACACGCTACTCTACATGCGGCAACAATCTCCTACCGAGGTCAAGGCACTCGATAGTTCACCATATCGACGCTGGACTACCGGCGACATATTCCGTTCTCCATTTTCTCCCGGAGCAGATATTCGAAACTTAATCAATGCGACGCGCAATTATACGATTCTCGCAAAGAAATGATGCGGGCGTCGCGTCGTTTTCGCATCTCAACGATCCACGAGGACTTGAAGATGCCAAGGTTTCTCGCTTGTCGAGGGAAATTCGAGGGAGAGCCGCACACGTTGTTTCGCACTGTGTCGCAATCAAGATGGTCGTGGAATTTTTACCGGTTACGATTAGGGTCGATCGACGAACGGGAACGGGACGATTTCCTCGCGTTTGATCGCGGTCGATGGTCCGCGACCGAACTTGAAGGACGAAACGCACCACCACGACGACTGCGAGCCACCACTACCTACACGTCGTTTCACGGGACCGGACGGACGTATAGAGAGATAGGCGGCAGGTAGCAGCACACCAGCACCACCACTAACTACCCCACCGGCGATGCTGCAAATTCGGCAGACCCGGCGAATTTTCTCCCTTCAGCTTTTCTATATATAACCAGGGATAGCCGGGGACGCCGACTTGTCTTACGGGACGATCGTACGCGTACTTGTCGCCCGCGACGACTCACGCCGACGAAGGTCGCGATCGATCAGTACTTTTCGAAAAAGACGCCCCCGACCAGGGGGCGAGCGAGAGAGAGTGTGGGAGGAATACGAACCACCACCACCACACACCGGCTATACACGTCGTTTCACACGGTGCACCAACAGCAGCAGCAGCCACTGGTGGCGGCACCGTCAGAGGGAAAGAGGAGTAGATCGCCGGGACGCCCGGACGTCGTCGAGTGACGTCACGGGAATGGAGTCGGGGATCGATCCCGAACGCCCACTCTCATCCTCAGCCTCTTTCTCTCTCGCTCTCCTCCGAACGGTACTGACCGGATAGAAAACATTCGACCGACCTCCAGCGACCCCCGGATGTACGTATGTACGTACCCAGCCGGCACCACGCGCGGAAGGGCGTAATTCCGAGCCGGATGGAGCGCACCGTGCTCCTGTCTCTTGTCTTGCTCTTGCACCGCTGCTGCTGCTGCTGCTACTGCAGCCGGTGCAGCGCGATCTCGCGAAGGGATCGAGCGCGGGAAAATAGAATGAGGATAGCAACGCGCCTCCTCGACGGACGCATTTTCTCGCATAGCTTTTTTTTTAGGGGATTCAGAAATTGATTTGTTTTTTATTATCCTCCTTATATCCTACTCTCAAACGTAGATTTTCTTACCTGAAAAAACGTGTGTCGATCAAGAAACAGATTTTTTTTTTTCTTACAGTATTTCTCATCATAAACGAATAGTGCGAATGTATAATTAATAAGTGGAGGTATTGTACGATAATACCAAATAGAAAATGTGTTCTCTCTTTTCATCTTCAAATAAAATTAACAGCTGGATCATTTTCACGTCAGTCTGAAAAATATTTCATTAATTCCAGGAAAGATTAAATCGTTTAACGATAACAATTTTATTCTTTCGATCAAGAATAATGTGCTAGTTTTGTATGTGAGTAGCATTTTTTTTCAATATATATATACACATCGATACCAATATATGATTAATTATTTATCATAAAAAATTGTCGGTAAATATATGCACAAAAAATGCAACGATATAATTAATTAGGAATACAATTGGTGTAATATTATGGATAATGTTCGGTCATTGTTTCCTCTTTTACGAGACCGGAATGCGTTTTGGCACGACTCTCAGTTCCGAACATCGAACATTCAAATCTGCATCTGCGGGTCGGTTAATCTGCATAGATATTGCGCCATGCATCGCGCGTGTGGAAATTCGGCAAACTATTCTACTTCCCCATCAGGAATTCTTTTGTCCCCGGAAATCGCTTGTGCGCCAATTCAGTGTTCAAGTGCATGGCATTAAAGAAAGGGTAACGTCCTCGTTCATCGTCTTTGATCTCTGATTTTTCGTCGCTGGATTCGGAAGGAAGACTGACGGCTGAGAGTGAAGAAAGATGAAAAATCTTTACGTCTTTTCGATTAAAAAGAAACGCTAAAAGAATTGGCCCCGTTTTCTTCTTTTTTGCTTATTCAATGAACAAAAAGAAATCCGTCCCGCATATATAATAATTGAAGATTTAGCAACTTTATAAATCTTGCTTTACCGCTGTCTATGCAAATAACGCGAACGAAAAAGAATATGCGCGATCCGATACGATTATCCTGTCGTATCGTATATAATGTAAAAAATACCACGATAAAAATGTCAAGCAACTCTCTGTTGTAATATGACAGCAATAATAAAATATATAAATAATTCTCGTCTCCTCTCTCTCTCTCTTTTAGGCATCTTTTTCTGACGAAAATCAGTTTTTGACACATAATTAAAGGATTTTTATGTTATTTTTAAAAAATATAATTGCACGAACGCAAAAGAAATTTTGAAGCATTATTACATATTTTCGACGGTAGAGCTAGCTTAGGCAGCGAGTCGTGAAAGCAGTTTTCTGCAAAAGTCTCTCGGGAATCAAAGAGAACATCTTTGTCAGGCAACAAGATTTTCCACGATGTATATTTAGAGTTGCGCACTTTCTGCAGATGTACTCCCGAAGCTATAAAATTTTAATATAGCGCAGTACGACTCGCGGATTTTACATAAACAATACATAAAGCTACTTGCAGTTTGCACGAATGGATGGCCACACATCTCGCACATTGCTACGTTTTGCTTTCGTCCTTTCTTATTTACAAAATAAAATTTATCCGCGAAACGGAAGTCGTGAATAATTTTTCAAATTTATTCGTCGATTTATCGCGAATAAATTATCCGATTATTTAAATAATGATTTGATTATTATTACAAATCTGTATACATATAATATATGATGCAGAATTATTATATCGATAACAGGTTTACGAAGCCTTCTTCCGTGTAGGCGATCCGATGCATTTTACGACCGGAAGAGCGTAGGTGTAAGAGTACATTAAAGAGTACATTAAAGTCAATGAAGCGAAAATTTTACGCATCGGTCGAACATTTTACAGAAATGCAATGTCAGTGACCCTATTTATTCCAGTCTAGAAGAGAACTGTTAATTATGACTGCGCTCTGTTCGCCTTGTGAAACTATCCAGAGACATTCTCTCTAATAGCCTCTACCTAATCTGAAATAATAATGCTCTCTCGCTTTTATATATTTTATACGTTAAACGCATCTGTAGAAATATGTACGTCGGACATTAATACGCTTTTCTATCAAGCAAGAATTAAAGATGGAAAATTGCAGATTTTTATTTTAATTTTATTTTCAAAATTCAATCTTTCAATATGTGTCAAAGACACTTGCTTTTTATGGTTTACTTTTTATTTTCTTGTATTTATTTACAGATAGTTTATAAAATATTAAAATATTAATTATATTAATGAAAATGAAATATAAACATTAAATAGAGTATAAATTATATTTTCTTTTTTTAATAGCATTAATTCAATGAAACTCTACATTATATATTTTGAAAAATTTTATTACAAATATGAATGTAAATGAATGAAAATAAAGTTCAAAAAAAGAAACCGTGTTATCATGTCAAAGTCTTTGAAAAGCAATGCAACTTGATCGATAATTTAAACAAATACTAAAACGCGAATGCGCTTTCTGTAATCACGAGGACTGAGAAGACGATTAATCTTAAAATTCAGTCAGTCGATATCGTGTAATCTTCGGTTTAGCGCGAAAAACGACTTAACGAGAAGTCGAGTAAAGAAGCGAATAAATAAACGAAAGAAGGAGAGGGATAAGATCTCGGAGCGTAAACACGTTAATCGCAGGAGCAAAATTCACGCGTCTGCGCGGAATATCGCGAAAGAGATCCCGCAGCGAAATCCAGGTAAGGTATCTTTCCGCGCATCTCGCGTTTCCATTCTCTCGGAACATTCGGAGAGATTCAAGCTATGCGGGAAGTACGATGACACGCTCGTACGTTCGCTTTACTCTTCCTATACTTCTCGGCGGACGAACGTGCTCCAGCGCGATACCGCGATCCGTCTCTGGCCCCCTTAAGAGGCTCATTCGAATGCACGGTCATACGCCGTCATGCCGTGCGGTTTGCATCTTGTCTAGACCGAGTTACGACCTGCGAAGCGCAGCCCCATTCCGTATTATTTGCCGAAAAAGCGTCCGGTCTATTCTCGCGACTTCCCGCCGATTCAGCAGGATGATGAATGCAAATGATCCTTGTCTCATTTCGACGGCGTGAATTCTATCATAATTCACGAGTTACGATACGAGTTATCATTATTATTTCCACAATTTATCAAATTAGAATAATTCTTTTAAAATGTCATCCGCATAATAAAATATAAAATATTGTTTGCAATAATTTAACGTGTGCTTCGCGTTAACAGACAAAAATGAAAGTCGACTCACCCTGCCGGCGTTGACAGCGTTGTTCCTCGCTGTTCCATCGAATCTCGTTGCAGACGTAATTCTTGGCACCGGTTCCACGACGCGAGATCACGAAGGGATCCTTGGGCGGAGGTTTGTTAGCGTCGTACTCTCGTTGCGGACGACTGACGTTTGAGCGACAAGCAACCGGATTCGTGTCGCGTCTATCTTGATGCAGAAACACCGAGTCGGTATCCGAGACGCTGCCTTCGCTTTTGTGTCGCCTGGTGGGCGGTTCGGTTGCCGTGCCGTCCTTGGTTGGCCAGCTGCCCGCGGCTAGATCCGGTCCGATCTTGGGCTGATTGGAGAAGCTGACCCTCTTGGGCCCAGTACTACCGTACTCGATCGATTCTCCACCTATGAGGCTTCCTCTCTTAAATATCGGATTTAGCGGAATCTCGCCGGCTTCCGGTTTCCTCGGGGATGCCACCGGGATGCCGGTCGCACCTGCTGATCTCCTGCAGGTCACGTTGAAACTGGCACGATCGATGTCGCTTCTGTGAAAGTGCGGAGAAGCGCTCTTCGATCTTTGACCCTCGTATCCCGGATTAATAATCGACTTGATCGACATCTCCTGACGATCCCGTAAGGCCTGCTGCGGACGAACTATCAGCACCGGTTGATTCTGGCCCTTTTGCGTTTGCATCAACGGCAACTTTCCGGTCGGACTCGCCTTGAGACGTTGCTGCACGTTGCTCCAGTACGAGCTGTTGTCTCCGTGAACGACGAGACCCGTCGCGGCTTTCGTTCTGTCTTCCATCGCGTTTCGCTCGTAGATTCGCCGCTGCTGCTCCTCGTTCAGTCTCTTCAGCTGCTGCCAATACACCGCTTCTCTCATGTCCGGTAGATCGATTTTCGGCGCGATCTGCCTCGCGCCGGAACTCGCCGACGAAACGGAATTCATCGACTTCCGATGCGCTTCCAGCGCCTTTTGCTGCCAATAAAACGCTTCCAGGTGCTGTCTAGTCTCCCGTTTCGAGGGCGACAACAGCATAAACGGCGGATGGCTCTGTTGACCGTACAAAGGCTGATACTGTCGTTGACGTTGCTCGTAAATCGATTCGTGCTGAAGCGAACTCGCACTCGTGTACATCTTGTCCTGACTCGTCGACGACGTCGCGCAAGTTCGTTGTTCGCGCGTGGGAGATCGAAGCGCTCTTCTTCCAGACTCGTTTAATGTTTGCTTAGCTTCCGCGGAAGACGACGGTGAATTCTGCGGCGACGAACTCTGACCTTGAACTCGAGCCACTCTCTCGTCAATGCATGACTCGGTCGAGCTTTCGTCTTCGCGTTTGTCTTCCTTCGTCTCCAAGGTCGGGGTGTCCTCGCTTTCGCGTTGTCTGCGGTATCCGTAAATCGGCTCGGGACGCGAGATGCCTTTCGAGAAGCAGGACGGCGATACAATCTTTCGCTCGACGGGTCTTCTTATTCCCGCGGCGGAAGAATTCTGACTACCGTACTGATGTCGCACTTCAATTGGAACGATGCCAGAGATAACCTCGCAGGAATCCGCAATGGGAATGGGCGACTCCGCGTCGCGGAGCCTCATCTCGTTCGACGGCCGAGAGATACGAGACTGACAAATGGCTTCTCTTTTAGGCGAGGCTATCAAGATTTGATCGTTGGGCTGTGATCTCCTGGCTCGAGATCCCGATGGAGACATCGCTATTGTTATTCCATGCTTCGACGGCGATACATTCGGAACGGATGTCCTCTCAATTTGACCGCTCGCTGTCGATTCGCTCTGTGTCTCGTAATTTTTTAAGCAATCCTCGCGTGATTTTTCCATCTCTCGTTTCGATTCCGCTTGCATACCTTCGTTATCTTCGCAAGAATGAAACGAGATATTCTTCAAGGGCGATTGCCGATTTAGACTGTCTTTCTTCTCCGGCGAGTTCTCAGTCGCGTGATCCTTCGAAGTTGAAAAATGTTTTTCACGACACGGCGACGACGGAGTTTCGTCGTAAACGTGTTCCTCGACGTAATTGATGGACGATGGCTGGGAAAGGACCGGTTGAGCTTCGTTCTCGTAGATTCTTTCTCGTTCGGTGGGAGAAGTTCGAGCACTGCTGCGAGGCGAGTTCAAATAATATTCCCCGCTCTTCGAGCTGGAGGGAGAAAACTCGCTCTTTTGACTCGAGTTGGGTGTGCAACTCGAATTATCGGCGTAGTCGCCGGACTTTTGGCTGGAACCAGACGACGGATACTTGCAAGTTCTTCCGACCAAGGGCGCTCTCTGAGTCTGATTTACGATCGGCTGGTGAGTAACCTTGACTTCCGCGGGAACCGATTGCGGAAGAGTGTTATCGTTCTGATAAAGTACCGATTGATTCTGATAATTCATGTTATCGACAACGTCAACGCCGCTGAGACCGTCGCACAGTTGACCGATGCCGTCCTCGTAATTCTCATAATTCGACAACTCTAATCGTGACTGCGGGATCTCGGGCAGCGGCCTATCGGCGACGTGAATAACTCGAGATCGCAAATATCGTTCGCCAGGCGGCGCTGAGATACGCCCGGAGGATCCGTGATTCCTCTGGAAGAAATAATTCCGATTCCCGTGACTCGACTCCTGTAAACTGTGTTTGCGCTCCAGGTAGTTGTATCGTCGGTTGTCGAGTTCCTCGCGTTTCTGCCTCTGCTCGTACTTTCTTAAATCGGGCGAGATGACAAATTGTCCGCCGCGTTCTATCCATCTCTCGTCCGGCGCGATCGAGCTGAGACTGGAATCGGTTGTACGATCGGTGTACGATCTCTGGCTTCGGCTTCTGTCGCGAAGAAGTCGCGAGTCGTCCTGCAGGAAGTGGTCGGGCGTGCTGGTGATTGGACCCTGTTCCGGGAACAATTCGCGCTTGATCTCGTCCAACCTCTCGTCGATGATGGAACCGTTCAAGCTGTTATCCAGTCGAACGTTTCTCTTGATATCTTCGTTTAAATTCATCGTATCCGGCGATCTCGTGTAATTTCCATTTTGCTGGTAACGAACGAAATGCCGCTCGTCGGATCTCCTTCGCTCCTTCTGCTCCTTCTTCTTGTAATCCTTTCGAGAATCTTTCGGCGAGAAAATGGCCGGTAAAAGACGTCGAAAGCCGAGCTTCTTCTTCTGTTTCTCCTCTTTTTTCATCTTGGACGGTCCCGCCTCCATAGCGAATTCTTTTATAAGATTAGCGTAACCGTCTTTTCCGCGATGATTTCGGAGCACGAAGGTCGATTCCTTAGAATTAATCACCGAGAAGGAATTCTCGCCGACAAGAAATATCTCTGACATTCGTTCCTCGATATTCGTTTTATAATTATTCGCTCGATTCGAATTCGTATCGTTCAAATTGTCGATTTTTTCGTCTCTATAATTTTCATCGTTCCATCGAACGCGATCCTTTATTTCCTCGTTATCGTAAGCTCGATCGAGTTCATCGACGTCAACGTTATCATCCGTCTGTATTTCATTCGTCGCGTGAGCAATGTCCTCGTCGACAGCCTTGATTCTGTCCTCGAGACACGAGTCGGAGTCGACGGTGCTCACGGTACTGTTCTCAAGAAGAATTTCCTCGGAAGTTCGTGACTTCGGTTCTTCGATCGACGTTTGTCTCTCCGCGAAGTTCGCCGGGTGTTTCTGAGCAAAAAGCAAGCGATCCTCGACGATGCTCTCGCGCGAGGACACGCTGCCAAACTCTTCGACGTAAGATGATTTCGAAGATTCCGAGGAGTTACGTTGCAGACGATTCTCCAAGAATTCTCCGGACCAGCGCTTCTCCACCTCCGTCACTTTCTCGCTGTATTTTCGCCCGACGTCGGTCTCGCTGGTTCTATCGTTGTCGGACGTGTAATCGAGATCGGTTTCCAACAGTCTCTTCTCCTCGATTTTCAATCGTTTATCCAGATTATGCTTCTCGAGAAAATCCTTGTCGAATCCGGAACTTGACTCCGCGGTAACCGACGACCTCGGAATATAATTCGCCAGCAGCTTCTCTCGATAACTTTGCGCGGTACTGGCGTGAATCCTGGTGCTCAGATTCCTTTGGAGATCCTCGATAGTCGCCTGATTTTTCTCCAGACAACTCTGGGCGTCAACTCTGTCAACTTCGACGCTCGTCGCGTCGTCCTGCTTTTCGATCTCGTCTAATTTATTACATTTATTTTTATCGTCATTATTTTTTTCAACGTTTCCCGACTCTTCGTGTTTAATCAATACTTTGTCGACAATTTGTTCCCGATTCGACAATAAATCTTCCGAGAATTCTTTCGTGGAACAAGTCGCTATCAAAGATGAATTGTGCTCCTTCTCGATCGCAGATTTCTTCGGGATTTTCGGTGGCACTTTATTCCTCTTGGAGACTGTATTCGCTGAATTTAAACCATCGATCGCAATACTACCGATGGATGGATTCTTCGTGAATTTACTCTTTCGATTCTTCGGGATAGGGAGTTTCGATTGGCTGTCGAGAATGACGGTCTTAAAATTAGTGTCTTTTGGTTTCGAATACGCGAACGACGCATCTTCCGAGGATAAGCTGCGACTTGTCGATTTTTGTCGGCTGTCTTTCGTTCGTTTGACAACATTCGACTTTGTCGAGGACTCGTTCTTCGTCAGCAGTACTTCTCGCGATCCGTTCCAAGACTCGAGGACGATCTTTTCGACGGTAACTTTATCGACCGAAAAAACCTGCACGTTTTCCGGATTCGCTTCCTTCCCGTCTTGTCGGAGCAAATTCTGATTATGTCGCGCATCCGCTTCCGAGATATTGTTATCGAAGACTTTTCCCATTGACTCCATGCTGGTTTGCTGTGCACCGTTCTCCTTTCAGATAAGCCTGAAAACAATTTTGTTATCTTTCGACATATTCATATTCGAGAGGAATAAAGTTTTCGAAATAATAATGAAATTCAAGTTTAAGAAATAGTTGAAAAAAACATTAGCTATATTATATTATATAAACGTACGTCTAAAAATTATTTTTTAATTGACTCTTTTAACTCCTGATAACACATCTAATAGATGCCGCTTGTAGATAATTTTTCCATTGTTCTTAAAACTAAATTATTTTGATATATGAAAATTATTTTTATATTCACTTTGGAATTATTTCAAGTTTCAAACTAAACGTGACACTACACAGAGAGAATCTTCTTTTATAATTTACCCTGAAAATCATGGTAATCGTGAGACAGTTTGACATTGAACGAATTTTATAAGAATCTCTCCGATTAATATTTATCACAATAGTATAAAATACGTACGATTACATCATTAATATTTTTCGCACGACGTCAAAACGATGCATTGTGCTCAGATTTCGACGCGTATAGTGGAATCGGTCCTGAAATAGCGGCTCACATATTTTTGTTACACTCTGCAGCCGCTGGAAATTGTCCCATAAGTTGATCGCCGCGCCGGTATTTAACCCGGTCAAGTACGTGATATACGTACGAGGCCATGTGCGCCCCAGCCAGCTATGGCACATATGTTCGAGAGAGAGAGAGAGAGAGAGAGCACGTGCCCGCACGAGCGCAGTTAATGCTGCCGGGTCGTGCGAGGGTGCATCAACAAATCCCGGAGTAGTCTAAACTCGCGTATACATGTATTCTAAATATCGAGGCAGAAAATCTGCTCTCATAGTCGTCGTTCGCATGCGATCAATGTCTCTCTCTCTTTCTCTCTGTCAAGGAGAGCCGCGCGGCGTCGCGCAAAGTGCAACGACCGTAACAAATTTGTTCAAGGAACCTACAAAGCGTCTAAAACGAGCATACCACCACACGACTTGGAATCCCTTTTTCCCGTGATACCGTTATGCTCGCTTCCGCCCGTATTTCCCCTCGAAATGACGTAAGCGTCAAGGATATACATGCCGAAAAGAGAAAAGTAAGAATATGCATTTATTTGCATCGCAAAGACAAGCTCCACTCAAAGACATTGCTAATTGAGGAATATGTATGTATATTAAAGTGATATTCTTATTTTGTGCAAATGTAATTCATTATTCAAATTGAAGAAATGAAATTTTTAAATAATGAAAAACAGGTGAATTTTGTACAGAAATGTAACGACTAAAATGAAAAAATAGAGATATGAAAATGTTCCATTTATCATTCGCTTGAAAAAGTACATTAAATTATTTTTACTGACAACGAATGCATTTTTAAAATATGTAATATATAAAAAAATAATGCTGCAAAGAAGTATAAAGAGAAAATAGGGAAAGAGAGACTAATGCAAATAATGTGCGTCTATGAAAAAACTAGCGCGTCGAATCCTCATTTAATTTAGGATTATAATAATTAATAACCTATTGTGTTGTAGTGTCTTCAAATGCACGTAATATTCATCTAATAGCACATTAACCCAGAAACTGTGGCAATCTGCCAAATGAACTACTTTTTGCCAGAAATTCGTTACATATTCTCGTTTATCAGACAGGATAAGGAGAGACACTTGCTATTAATTTCATATCAATATACGTTCGATATCGCACAAGTCGGCCAAAAAATCGGCAGATTATTTTCTCATATATCGCTCTCATATTTGCCGCATATGTTAATTCGCTGGCCAATTAATTAGGCCTATATAACGATCATGGATTAATAAAACGATATTTGTTCCGCTCCGATAATTCTCGCCTCCTTTCGCAACATTTTTTCGAGATGAAAATCGTACTTGAAAAAAAAATTAATGAATTAGTGATATAAAACTATGAAGTCACCAGATGATAATTAAAAAATGGTAATAATTCAATCGACCAATTCTGGCAAATAATTAAATTTATTGAATTTTCACAACGTTTCGGCCGTGGGTTTCGGCCCTTATCAAGTGCTATGTTCTTAAATCAAAGTAAATCACAACTTTTTAAATTTTAATTGAATTTTTGTTTTTTTAAAAAAGTTGTGATTTACTTTGATTTAAGAACATAGCACTTGATAAGGGCCGAAACGATGTAAAAATTCAATAAATTTAATTATTTGCCAGAATTGGTCGATTGAATTATTACCATTTTTTAATGAATTAGCATTCGTCGCAACACAACACGCACCTTCAGACGCGCCTGATTCCGATGCAAGGCGTGACACTCCGATTGAGTGCGCTGTTCATCGGCACGTTCCGCTCCGAGACTGCACGCAAATGAGACTTAACATTGTTAACCGCGACGCGCGTTGCACCGACGTTTTCCCGGAAAATGTTTGCAATCGACTGGCCGGAGAATTCGCATTACTCGTTACTGCACGAGTTACAACGCGACGAGCGGGCAGCGGTTAACAGTTATGTAGAAGAAATGCAATATTCACAAGTGAAACCAATACACCACGGTGTTGATTTACGGTACCGTTTCGCAAAATATCAGCTTGCTCTCGTTGCCGATTATGTAAATAATCATTCGCGGGTATGTACACCGCGATATATCGCAATTACGTTCGCGCGCGATCATCAAGTTCTAACCCAGTCAGGGTACATCACATTTCACCTGACAAAGTAGTCATTTATACTTGCACGTGCTGATGTTTGCATTTTCTTTGTAATACAATAATAATCATAGATTAACAACATTATTATTAAATAAAATATTCTTCATCCATGATTTTATATATATATATATACACATCATACGGTTTTAAATTAAATCTTTATGTGTAGATATTATATACATCTTTATTTAAAAATTTCCAATGCATTACACATGTATTTTGAACATCTGTATGATTACGTGATTAATAAATATAATAAATATATGTAAACGTATAAAAATACATATTGCCTCTTCGGGAGGAGATTAATTTATGTCTGCATAATTTTCGCATAATGACTATACGATGAATGTGGAGAAAGGCCGAAGATGGTAGATTGGCAGATAATGACGGCAAGTAATACATGCGAGAATAACGCGGTAATAATGCGGAAACGCCATCATCCTTTTATCCACGTTTCACGATCATCAGCGAAGAACTTGAACGGCAAAATAGACGATCGCGCGATCGAAGCGCAGAAATAAAACGAAACCGTAGAACAAAGCCGATAATTGACAGACACGTATCTCGCCAATATATTCCTTAATTATCGCGACACTCGTTATCTCATTATCGTCATTGGGTAGCGTTGCGAAACGACAATTCCAAAGTGGTCCTTTGGAGTTTGCCGACCGTAGGTGGTTCGCGGAATACAAAATGCGAATGAAAGAGAGACTTACACGTGCATCCGAGAGCCACTTCCGTCCCTTGCAAGGTAATCAACGTCGAGGATAAAAGGATACTGATTTTAACGATTTCAACCATTTCCTCTTCGTGTACCATATATGCAGATCAATTGGATGGGAAAATTTTCCGATATTCGAGATATCTATCCGCTTCGAAAAACCGCTCTGTACCAAAAATTGCAAAACGGAGAAACGGCAAAGAAACGAAACTTTGGAAAATTAACATTTAAATTCGCGTAAAAAGAAAAGAACGAAAAATATTGAACTCAAACCGGTTCGCTATTTTCCTTCGCGGAGCTAATAAATCGTCGGCGCGCTAAATTTCGCGGGAATTTTATGTATTCTTTTTGTCCCCGTTTTAACGATAACGTATAATAAGTCTCGATTCGCATATAGATAATGTACGTAACGAGTCCGTGCAGACACAAGTGCAATCTGCACTTGCAGGCTAACGTAAAGAGCCCTTGCTTGGAAGATAACTATCGAGGGCACGTCGGTTCCTTTGAACAGGCAGACAGACAACCTCCAAGTTTCCGAGACGATCAATTCAGCTGACATCGTGCGTTAGTTTATGAATATGAATGATATTCATATTCATGAACGCGATATTAAAAATATTATGCAGCCGGAGCAATGTATACATCTGAAACGAGCAACTGGAACTCATTTTTGCAATCGTTTCAATCAATAATTTACTTCGACTAATCTAATTATTAATATTTAATATTTATTCCCCACTACACAAAATATATCGTTGCTCCAGAAATTATAGTTAATAATTCATATACTTTAAAGTAATCTAAATCTAAATGATTAAAAAATGTATAAATATTACAGATTGATAAATGCATCAATGTGAAATATTTATGGAAGGAAAGAGCCTCGCTTTACACGACAATAATGTTTCGAATGCTAATCTACAAATAAAATCGAGCTTTTAATTATAGCGAACATTATTACGCGTATATGACTCAGGCTCAAGAAACAATCGCGGATAGTTAAGATTAGATACATGTGTGCCGTGGCTTCGATAGCAGAAGGTAAAGTTGTTGTCAGCGCACGTTTAACGGATTAACGAGCACCTCTCGATCCCTGGCTAATACGATGATGACGATACTCGAGGATTGTTGCATCAATCTGTAATTGCGCGTCCATCATTCCTAAATTTAATCGCCATCGTCGACGATGCCGTCACATCGATGCGATTCTGTACGTGATAATTAGTATGTACGTACATACGCGTACGATAATCCTCGCGTAATTTCATCGGAATATCTTCGAGAAAATCGACGATATTCCACGCAGCAAAATGTGTTTTCTCGTTAAAAACGATTCCCATTCAAATTTTCGTTGAATTGAACTGTAAATGATTAAAATAAACTGAAACTGAAGATGTGCATCTATTTTTAATTTTTATCAGTAACACGACATTTATTTCGTGTTAGAATTATTAACACAGTACTTGTGTCTCAATTTGACATATCCATTTGTGAACCGTTTGGGACATCTGTTATAAATTTGACCCACATTTTTCAACCGAAGCGAGATAAGAATTGACAGGTATATTTGCGCGATTTGTGCAAACGAGTAAAAAAATGCAAACTTACTCCTCGTCCGCCAACACTCGACGTCTATCGTTCGCTGCTCGTAGACCGTGAAAAGGTCTAGTTCGTCGCGGTGGAAGAATTTTGTCAAAGGTAACGATATTTGTGCGCGCACTTTTTGGAATATTTATTTGGGAAATGACGTGTAAGTCGGGATCGAAACGCAACGCGAAAACACAGAGAGAACGGGAATAAAAGATGACTCCGCGATATAACTTCGCGACATGAAAGAACGGGCTGCAGCTTTTGCAGCGAGTGCAATTCTTGCCGAAAGTAGCGCGCGTATGTATGCATTTATGAATCCGTTACTAGACGCGTAAATCTTCGGGAGAGGAAGGTCTGCTTTCCTCCGTATTCCTGCGCGACGGATTATTTCCTTATCGCGAAAGAGGGAGTGGGTGGGAAGAGACTCTTATCTATTGTCACACCTCAGACACGAATACACTGTCACTGACACCCGATAACGAACGATAACGATTTTTCGCGGCATTCTCGCCTTCCTTCCGCGAAAAGGATTTCGGAGCAAAAGTGGAGGCGCTGAAGGAAATGACAACGCGATACGATTAATCAGCGACGAAAAATTCAACAAAGTCAAAATGGGGGTGGAGGAAAGGGCGCGAAAAGATGAGAGGAAGAGAGAAAAAGGGAGAAGGAGGAAAAGAAGGAGCGAGATAAACGAAGCGCCGGCAACGATGTCTCTGTACTGACTGACGACGAGTTGTTCGTATAATGTACGTAGAGTATACGAGAGAAAGAGAGAAACGCGGTTAGGGAGAGGGAGAGCAATGTCTGAGAAAGAGCGAGACGAGGATAGGGAATAATGAGGAGAGAGAATGGACGAGAACTGGCCGAGCCAAACTGGCGAGAGAGCAGAGAAACGGAGCGTTACGGATTCTCTCTGTCTCTCTTTCGCACCGACGAAGAGCGAGTTGCGTGTTAACGCTGATAACAACTTACAGGTATATGTACGATATATGTATATTTACCTGTGACACATTGGCGTATTGGCGGAAAGTCGCAGTGATTCTCAGTCGTAATTGTAGTTCGATTGTTCCTCAAAAAGTCACTTCATTTTATTTGAATATATTTTTCAGATTCTCTTAAAAAAAATAAATAAAATCTTTCCCCTCGTTAAAATACTCGAGAAAATGTTTTTATTTTAATGAGAAAGAGGTAAAGTTTTTTTCGCATCGAGATGAAAAAGGAGAGACATGGAAAAATTAATGCTAATTACGAATCTAATTATTTTTAATTAAGTAAATAATTTATGACATGAATAATATTAATATTTTAATCTACTCTCGTCATCCTATAACATATGTATAATTGTTATCGGAATCATGTTGTCGTGATAATTACATGTTGTTTATAAGAAGCAAGTCTTCGATTTAATCTCGTTACTCTGCAAAACTTGACTCGCACAGTAATTGTTGTATCGTTGTAACACAATTGAACGTGAATAATCTTTCCGTCTCGTTATTCATTCCCTCGATGCTAAAATAAACTTGCGTGCACGTGTTCGAAATTATAACACGTTGGATAGAAAAGCAGCCGAAAGCTGCCGTAATCTGGAAACACTTTTGGGCCCGTTGAAAAATTCCTATTAAGCTGAACAAGCAAATGGAATTTTAATTAAAGCACTTTGCGTGTGCACTGAGAATTACCACGACGCTAGATATCGCCAACTCGTATTATCACGATTCTATAGAACAGTATGATTTATCTCTGATTTACGAACGTATATTCTCGACGCGACGTAATTGTTCGCATCTTCCGAAAATTATATTCCCGAAAACGAGAGAAAAATCAAATTTCCTCAGAATATACATTAACTCGCAAAATACATACTTTTGATTATCGGTGCATTTTTTATCTCTGAGAACAATTTAAAGAAATAAATAACAAAAATAATCAATATTTTCTCACACAGAGAGAATTTTCTCTTAGAATTTACCTTGAAAATTATAATAATTGTAGAACAATATTGGAAGAATTGTATAAAAGTTTCTCTGATTAATATTTATCACAATAAAAATATTAATATCTATCACAATAAAATATAAAATGTACGATTAATTTAACTATGTGCATAGTAAAATTGACTATGTACATGTTAATATTTTTTATTGTAGTAAATATTAATCGGAGAAACTTATAAAATTCTTCCAATAACGTAGTGTCCTACCATTTGTTGGATTACCATGATTTTCAGGAAAAATTCTAAGAGAAAATTCTCTGTATGCAGTCATGTTTAGCTTGAAACTTAAAATAATTCCAAGTGTATATTATTTTATTTTCATTCAAGAAAAATGGGCAAAAATTATCGGTAGGCAGCATCTGTTGCCAGGAGGGAATCAATTAAAAAATTATTTTTGCCGTGATTTTCATGGTAAAAATTCGAAGAAAAAATTCCGCGTACATTTATATAAGAAAATGTTACGTTTACATTGCGAAACCTTTCTTAAAAATGGTCGCAAACAGAAATGATCGCGGTATCACTTGTGATCCGCAAAACTATGTAGGATATAGCGTATCCGATACGTAACTCGAGACTAGGAGCTAAAGAGAATTTCTCGAGACGTTTCCTGGGAGACGAGACGACCTTTCGATCTTCCGAGACCCTCTCCTTGGATCAAGAAATGAATTTCTTTTTTGTACCGGCTTCAATCAAGCGTATACATCGATCGAAAGAGCGTTCCCTCGAGTTCCCTCGAGTTCGACCTTCGCGTTCCCCGATTTTCGTTTCTTCCGATATCGAATCTCTTTACAATGACTCTCCGCGTAACTTAAACCCATCTCGGGGGTATTTGTTTTTTTTTTCTCTTTCGTTTTTCTCTCTTTTTATTAAGAATCGCGCAATCATGATTTATCGATGAAAACGAGGCGAAATGCAGTGCATACGAGTTCGCAAGGTAAACTACTTGTGCAAGAAACGTCGAGCATGCAGCCGGGTTTCGATATCGGTATATTATTATGATTGTAAATATATACCTATACATATATATTATATATGAGACGGAAAAATTAAATATCGGAATTACCGAGGTCAGCGAGTGATTTCAATTATATATCATACTAACATAACGTTCGTGCAATTACATCACGTTGATAAACATTTGTATCAATCGATAGTCATAAACAAGGTATATGTTACCATTTATACTAAGTAATAAATTTCATTGCATTTAATGCGCGCGTTACTGTTCTTTTACTTGAACTAATCTAATAATTAAATATGCATATTTCTAAATTTTGCATTGCATGAAAAATGATAAGTGACTTTAAATATACATCTTATTTTTTTGTAGTAATTTTTTTAAAAAAGTGTAGATAGTTTTCATAATTGTCATAATTTTATGCTTAAATAAGACGTGCATAAAATTCAATAATTTTATCCGCGAAATCCTGCATGTATTTTTTTTTTAATTGCGCCAGTGACACGATTGCATACTTTCAAGAGATGCAGAAAAGAGATATTCCTACTGCTGATATATATGAGAAAGAAGAAAAGAGATAGTCGATAAGGAAGAATGCACAAGCAATAAAATGAGATGGATTCTTTAATCTTTATACGGTAATGACACCGAGAGAACCCATCACACGTACATCATTTTCAAAAGAATCTCATTAATTGTACTCGAAATAATAAAAGTAACAGAACATCAAAAATTTAATATACAATTTTGAAGCTACATATAAATTATTATGAAAAGACTAATTGTTCAAATATTTTTAATCATAAATTAAAACAGCTTGCTGCAAAAGAAAGATTTGTAAACATTTCACGACTAACTCGTCCGTCGTCATCAAATGACAGATAAAATATGTCGCAATGAAAGATTATGATTATTATGCATTAATCATGCATTTGTTGAAACAAAGATATATATGTATAATCCATTTATTATAATACGCAAATATGATTATCACAGCTATCGTTCTATAAACTGATGAATAATTCAATGAACGAGAGTGAAATACGATAAACACAATGAATACGATGCTTTAGTTCCTTTCAATTATCTCGCAATGTATTTATATATATATGTATTATTCAATTAATAATTTAAATTACATGTTATGTAATAATTTCCTCAGTTATTCCACATTAATAACAAGTATCAATAAATGTCTTAATAAAGAATACATTTTGATTCTATTTCAAAATTAATACATATAATTACTACAAGATAATAATTAATTCGCGATTCGATTTCTTCTACTGAGTCATAATGTTAATCATCAGATTATTAAATCGGCGCTTTGTTCGGGATGTATTTACTTCTCTCGATTTCTTCTTTTTTTCTCTTTTGGATAAAGAGATGCACCGCTTGAACGCAACAATTTGGAACGGGATTCTCGTCTAGACGGGTATCTCCAGACGGGGCCCTCATAAATATTTATGAATTTAAAACGCATAATTACTCGAAAGAGAAGCACTGTTGCACAATGCGCATGTGTGGGACAAAATGCACATTGCTTTTTTATCCGTCTGCCAAATACACATCTATATGTTTATGCAAATTTTTGACACTGGAAATTTAAGCCTTCATTCACGACGAGATCTTATCAATTGTACTTTATGAATGTAAAAAGAAGTAAGAAGAGAATAATTTCGTATACACGAGGATTTTGCGTGCAAACTGCAATACTGCAATAGCAATAATTAATATAACGTTTTTTATCGCAAACTTTGAGAGTCGCGGAATCGTCCTTATTTGTGTCGGAAAATAGACTCGTTGCTCTAAATTATATAAAACAAAATTGTGATATCAACATCATTATGTACGGTAATTTAGTAATGTTACTTTCAATCTTTTTTATTTTTCATTTTTAAAAAGTAACTGTCACGTAATAGAGAGACGTAATAAATGAATTATTACGCAATGCAAGGAAAATCAGTGAAAAATAATATTATTATATCAATCATGTACATTGAGTTATTTTTTTATCGCATTAATTTTATTTTAATTTCGTTTTTAGTGGTTTTGTAATTGTTCCTCGTTCGTACAATTGAGGTAATATATATGCTACGATATAATGATGATTGCAATTAAAAGAGATGAATCGCAGAGAATATTCTCTTTGCGACTCAACGCAACTGTATTGTTCGGACTTGTGTATATTCTATTGTTGTAGAATAATAAAATTAACCGTAAATCCGACAATTCCGACAAAGCTTATTATCGAATATCAAACCATTATTATTATGATTATAATTTAACAATTGCTATAAATACGATAAATGATAATAAGAAGACGTGCATGTATAGCTAAATTGTTGACACATTATTAACTTTATAATAAATATATGAAATAAAAAATAAAATGAGTTTTCCATTTGAGAATTTCTCAGAGTAAAAATTGATCAAACAAATACATCTAATTCAGTTATTCAAACTAAATGAACGTCATGTTTGCTTCAGCATGTTCTATTGCAAAAAGTAGAAATAAATAATATATTAGCTATATAGGCTTAGAATTTTTAGCTGTATGTTCAGAAAACATATACTGAAAACAAATTAATAAAACGTGCCAATTCATACTAACTACTTTATATATAATCTACTATATTGCTGATTTATCTAATAAGAACTAAGATAATCATCTAATCAGATGTTTATTCGAGACCCGCGCTTTCATCAATCAAAGAATTATATTTAGCGCTGAATAAATAGGATATGAATGCTGGCTATATTATATTCACACAAACATAGTTTTGCGGCAATACTGTGCAGAATCACGTATCGACATTATTAAAAATTCGTGTTCAAACTTTTATATCGAAAAAAAAAATAAATAAAAGTTCTCTTTATGTACCAACATCTCTAGGATCCGAATCTCTGAATGTTTCAGGTTCCCCTATTCGTGAGCGGGAATGACGTCATCGCCATTTAAATCTATGAAACGAAGACTGGAAGAATGCGGAAGAATGGAGGAGAAAAATGAAGGCTCTCGCGAAGAAATCGCGAGCAAACGAGCTCGACTTCGCCGCAAAGCGCCGATTGTGATGCGAAGGGCCCCGTTACACACCTCGAGTCTCGAGTGTGGCGTCGCTGCACAGGTATGTGCATATTGGCCTCCCAATCCCTCGACTGAGGAATGCGTTACTGTGTGCCGCCTCTCACATCGGTAGGTTCGGATGCTCTTTGTCTGCGAGATCTGACCTGATCCAGTAGTCCACCATCTGCCATCGTCCGCCCTTTCCAGAGAGATTTTCTTTGAAAGAAATTCCGGAAAGGCCGTAAGAAAAAACGCGCGCTTGAAAGAATGCATTTTTCGACAAAACATCTAATTTTACGTGTAGAAAAGTATACGCTTAATTTCAAAAAATTAAAGAGATGTATTGTTTTAATGATGAAATTTAGAAATCAATTTTAAATTGCAATATATAGTTTTCTTTGACTAATTCTAGAAACTAATTCGTACAAATTATATTCTCCATCTAATATCACGTTTAAATCGTAAACTTAAACTCGAACTTGGATTTTCCCCAAGAAAAACGACTTCTTTCATAAACTCATAACACTCGTGATTATTTACGAATTGAGATCGCCAGTAACTCGTAAACAGGATACCCAGTGTCGAAATAGACCACGGCAAATTTGGGAACGATTTACAATCGCAGCTCAACGTCACTCATGATCAAACTCAAAGAACGAGAGAACGATCGAGCCTTAAACTCGCGATAAAGGCCTCGTTCCCTTTCCGAAGTCTCTTCCTGCCCTCGTGTCATCATTTTATCTCGCTCTCGTGAATGAATTTGTGAACATAAACCGTCGGTCCGTCTCACATCCGCCTATTTCGGTGCACACGCGCTCGCCCTTCGCCTTTCGTTGAGGGAGAAAATTATTTCTAGCAGCCGGGCAACGATCTTTTTCCCCGAACATCGGTCTCGATTTATCGCATTCGAGTCGATTAATTAATGATCGTTTACGAGCATCTCGCGCAATGTGGAAGATAGGTTGTACAAGAATTCTCTATTATATAGTTTCCGTATTTTCTCTTCCGTATTTTATTTCGCCTCTTCGCTAATGGGAATTTTTCATGAAATTCTGCATAAAGAGTCTTCTGAGATTTATACCAGAGATTATAGAATTTACTTCATTGCCGCTAATTGGTCCGGGCTTATTTTAATTGAGACAGATAATTATAAATGCGAAATGTGAATGTGCGCGCACTGAAAAAAAAAATCTGTTAACTCGACTAAACCTTTCAACTAAATATTATTTCGTTAATTGAACATAAAAATATTTAAATTAAATATAACAAAATGTATATTTGACTCAAATACTAATAGATATTCAATTAACAAATAAGTAATTTAGTTGAAAGGTTTAGTTAAGTGAACAAATTTTTTTCAGTGCGTGAAGGAAGAAATCGATATGTTTTATTTAACAATTAGAAATACGTGTCGCAAAATTGATGATCTTCCAACCATAAAGAAAACCGGATTTTTTACATATATAATATTTCAATCATTATACACCTGACAGATATATAAATCGCTATGCAAAACCAATGCATTCAGAGTATTCAATCATTTGAAATCTTTACTACGGGAGGGAAAAACGTAAATTTAATTTAGAAAAAAGACATGTGGGACAAAGGTAGGACAAGTTGGTAAAAAATGGCGCATTAAAGCATATCAGGTTGACTATAAAGGATCCTCGTAAATTCCCGACGACCTCCTGGCGATGTCTTTCAGAGTGACCTGCACGAGTTCATCGGTCGGCATTCTCTCTCGCATGAATGCAACGCGAAATGCAGTGCCAGAGAAAAACATTGGGGTGTAAGCGTAATGTATCTGTATATCACGCGGTGAAACTAGAAGCTAACAGCTGGAAACTGGTTTCCAAGAGAAGGTTCCATTCGCGAACATACAACCGTGCAAAGGATAGAAGTAAGAGAGGAGAACAGAGAGGAGAAAACGGAGATGTAAAAGAGAAACAGAGTTAAGGAAAAAAGAAATAAAATTTTATATTCTGAAGAAATATATACTAGAATAAAAAGAAATCCAAGAGCGAAGAAAAACACAAGTGGCACTTTTCCAATTATTTTATTTTTATATACTTATTTTCGTAATAAGTTCTACTATCGCTTGAGAATTAATCGAATGAAAAAATCATGTAATTTAAAAAAAGAAATGTTATATATTTTATAAATATCGATTTTATAAACATAAATTTTGCAATTATTTTTGACATGATACATATTATATGAACAAATAATAATGTAAAAAAATTATTAAATTGAATTTAATGCAATAAAGCTTTTTTAAAATATGACTGCAATTATTTTTGCAGCTTGGCGTGTTCTCTCAAAAAATAAGGAAAAAGACGGAAGAAGAAAGAGAGAGGAAGAGAAGAAAGAAAAAGAAGATAAGAGAAAGGTGAAGGGGAAAAGAGGGAAAGAAATCAAGGAGTACGGTTACACTATTGGCCTCTAAGGAGAAACATGGGCGCAGAAATTTAGGGGCACCACACATGTACAGTAAGTTGCACATTTTTCTTGTTACATAATGCATTTAATTCTAATTAAAAGAATTACATTTTTTTAATTTCTACAGAGAAAATTTTCTCTTAGAATTTACCCTGAAAATCATGATAATCGTGGGACAATATGGTATAGGAAAAATTTTAAATAAATTTTTTTGTGGTACATATTCATATTTTTTATTGTGGTATAAATATTAATCAGAGAAACTTTTATAAAATTCTTCCAATACCATATTGTCTCACGATTACCATGATTTTCAAGGTAAATTTTAAGAGAAAATTTTATTGAATAAATTTAGTTATTTTTTAATAAAGATATCGAGACACATCTCTCTCATGAAATCTAATTTTGTAATTTAATCTCGAGCAATTTTTTGTTTGCGCACACTTTTGCTTTGCTGAAAGTTGTTCCAAAATAAATATTGAAATGTTGCGAGACACCTAATTGCCACACACGTCGAATTTTTTTAGGTAAAGTCAACATTAGATTGGCCAAACAATCCGTAAATGAAAGTAACCGCAGCCTGAAAGACACGGAGCAGCCTGTATAATGTATGCACAGCGGAAATTGAGATTCTTCCTGCGGACGAACGCACAACTTTAGTCACAGCTTCGGATTGCTCATGCGAGAAGCGGACAAGGAGGAGACAGACAGAGAGACCAAGTGAATGGAATGGAGATGGAATACGCAAATGTACAGAGGGAACAATATATAGATAAAGTTGGACACAGGAAGCAGAAGAAGGGACGGTGACGCGAGTGCGCATCTCGCTTTTAGCGCGGGAGAACAGTACATTATTATTTTTTTTTTTTGCACTGGTTAAGAGCAGCGTATCGTTCTATCTTTAAAAGAACGAAGAATTTCTTTTATTCTCGATCGCGCGGGATAATCTCTGTGTAAGAATGTCCAGGAGGTATAAGGATCACGCAACTATAGCAGATAATTGTTATAATTGCACGTACGTGCAAATTGCACTTTGTGTCTCGTGAATCGCGACAGGTAATCTCTCTCTTCTATTTGCGCGCATATTATATAAGAGATAATAAGTGCCTCCGCGAAGAAATATCGCCGTGTATTATTTCCAAAGCAAAATGTCTTTCAAAAATAATTGACCATGTATATACATATATATGTATATTTCTTTAAGTAAACTAAATTAAGATTCAAAAAGCTAAGTTCAATTATAACACTAACAATAATTTTCTTATTATAGTAATGGCATTGACACGATTTTGTGTTTATAGTTCTTTAGACTTTATAATTATTGGCGCAGTGAGAGCAAAGTGAAAGAAATGTAAAAAATATTTTTAAAATATTTATCAGAGAGATATTAAAAAATAATTTTTTTGGAAACTATAAATAAATAAAGATGATATAACGAAAAGAAAATAATTTAACTAATGTTGTATATCTCACAATTCGAGATAAAATCAAACTTTTATATCATCGTGTGTCACGTGTCAATTTTAAACTTGTATAAAGAATGCGCGCGAAAGATCACTTAAATCGAATTCGGCGTACGATTTGTTACCGCGATGAAATTCGATCTCTTTGCCTTGCACTCACCATGATTTTTCGCTGAGATCGGCTTCGACGAGGAATGAACGATCCCGTTGCACCGGGTAGATCCTATAGACGCAGCACGAGATAAAAGCACGAACTTCGACGCTTACTATAAGCACTCTGCACTGTTACACTATATGCATATGTTGGGTTTTAAAACTGCGCGACTCCGAAATCTCCGTGTAATTTCGAACGTGGAAGACAAATCGCGCGTCGACCGGCAACGTGAGGCACTCGCGGAAAGAACAGGACAGACGCTGGACCCAACGGCAACGCAACAAGTGATGACAGCCTCCACGCGCGTCCTGCATTGACTCGCGCGATCTCTCGTACTGCGCGCGCTCACTGAGGACGCCACCGCTCGAGCGGTCCCTTTAATTTTCAACATAGTCAAGTTTCATTTTATTTTTAATATATCTTTATTTCATGTGCGTCCCAACAATGATATAAACATGATACAATAATATAAAAATCAATATGTAAAATAATATATGCTTTTAACTCATATTATTGTATTTATCTCTCTGAAAAACATTTTCCTTTTTAAAGACTAAATATATTATTTATAATATTCATATATGTATAAATTTTATTTTTTTTTTCGAAAATTCAGCGTTTTTATTCTGTCTTTAAACTTCAAATCCAATCCGATTAAAAGCACGCAACTATATTTTTCTCTTGAAATCTTCATTGGCTGTGGAAATACAATTAATTGTATGCGTATTCTGTTTGAGTTATCAATTCCTTCTTGCTAAATAAATAATTTTATACTTACAATATTGTTCAATACTTCTTGTAATACGGCTTGATCAAGACCTAATAATTGTTGTAGGACTATAAAATCTTCGAGAAGGGCCTCTAAATCGCGATTAGATAAACTTTATGCAGTATCTCTTTTTCATTCGCATTTCTGACAAATGTTTTAAAGATTCCTTCATTCCACGTCTCTAAAAAAGAAATTAATTGAATTAAATTTAAATACGTAATTAAATAAATAATTAATTAAAATTAAAACATAGTCAACTGAACTTGAGGAATATAAAGTGATATTGTCCTTATTTCTAAAATTTTCATATAAATATTAAAAATACATTTTTATTTTATTTTATATAATCAATACTGTGCTATATAAATAATCTCACTTTCTATTCTTTTTTTAATATAAGTAATACTTTGTAGAAAACTTTTACATAGTACTTCTCAAACAGATATACATGTTTAAAAAATGAACATACTTACATGTTTTGTTTCCCTTAAATAATTTTCATCATAAGTATCTTCTGAATTTCCTAATGATCGTTTTTTGAACATGAACATTATGGGTTCCAATAGTTCCGGACAACTCTCTCAGATTGGAATAAGTGATCAAAAGTATTATTCAACATTCATCACCTGTTACACAAGTTTCTGTACAGTTTTATATTTATTCATATATATGAAAGAGGAAAAACATAATTTTTTTCTATAAAAATGAATAAAAAAATACCTGCAAGGTATATATGTCTCTGTTTGTTGTTTTAGCTTCCTAACAACAAGCGTTTTCTCCTGTCAGCCACATAATTTAAATCCATGTGACAGAAATTTGTCTTTAATTGATCAAAGCAATGCATCCAATTTGTTAATGCGATCGCACAATTTGTATGGAAAAACTGACTTTTGTAATAATCAGAAAAATGTCTACGTGATACATCTGCACCTCTGTAATCCATACATATGAGTATCCTTATAAGAATTGCATCTTCCATACATGACATTGATATTCATATCATGTTGCACGAAAAGGAGATTCTGGGCTGAATTTCTGATTAAAGGCTGCTATTTGCTATGATGAAGTTCTATATTTTCAATTTCCATCCAATTGTAAAACAGAATTGTAAAGTATGCGATGCAACCAAGACTCTTCCATTGCTTCCGTCAACTCTTTTGTCTGTAAAAAACAATGTGATAATAAAATCCTTTTTATCATATTATATTTGTTTAAACTTACTACTATTATAGTTGGTGGCAGAAAACTGTTTATTTTATTCCACTTAGTAAACGTCTCCATGTAACTGCATGTAACAACGTAACAAGCTCGACCTATACAAAGATACGTAGAGTTAGAATTATTAATGATAGTTTATACTTAGATTTGTTAAATATACATTAATTATTATACATATTTAAAAATAAACAAACATAAAACAATATGCGAAATATATTTAAAATTCACAAATACTTATCTCCCTATATATTTATAATATCAAGATGTAATTACTTCTACTTTCTAATAAACATGTAATATTAAAATGATAATAATTGAAATTACTTCATTTTTGAGATCATTCCTCTTCTTTTATCATTATGAGTTTTCTTTTAATATACAGTATTTTCTTTCACTAATCCTAATATTATCCTAAATATTATAATTGTTAATGACAACATTAATTGAAACATACCTTGCATTTTTTATTGTTGTAAATTTTTCTCATAATAGCATCATTAACTCGTCAAAATTATTTTGCGTTATTTAAACTAAAACAGGTTATGTCTCATGCGGTCAAGCCTTCAAATGTGCTTGAAAAATCGAGTTTGAATTAATAGGAGAATATATTTTGCAAAGAGGTAATCGCGCGATAATGCGGCAATAATGTTTCTAAAATGTCCGAAAAATTATTTTGAGTTAACAGGCGAACATGTTGTACGAAGAGCTATTAGGAGTTCGCTATTAGGAGACTATATTTTCAAAGAGGTCGTTCAAAAAGACAGTCGGTAAATTATCAACGTTGGTAAGTTACCATCATATATAAGATGTCGCGTTGGTAAGTTACCATCATAATTACCAACTCCCTCTCTCTTTAATTTTCAACATAGTTAAGTTTCATTTTATTTTTAATATATCTTTATTTCATGTGCGTTCCAACAATGATATAAACATGATACAATAATATAAAAATCAATATGTAAAATAATATATGCTTTTAACTCATATTATTGTATTTTTATCTCTCTGAAAAACATTTTCCTTTTTAAAGACTAAATATAATAAATATATTGTTTATAATATTCATATATGTATAAATTTTATTTTTTTTTCGACAATTCAACGTTTTTATTTTGTCTTTAAACTTCAAATCCAATCCGATTAGAAGCACGCAACTATATTTTTCTCTTGAAATCTTCATTGGCTGTGAAAATACAATTAATTGTATGCGTATTCTGTTTGAGTTATCAATTCCTTCTTGCCAAATAAATAATTTTATACTTACAATATTGTTCAATACTTTTTATAATACGGCTTGATCAAGACCTAATAATTGTTGTAGGACTATAAAATCTTCGAGAAGGGCCTCTAAATCGCGATTAGATAAACTTAATGCAGTATCTCTTTTTCATTCGCATTTCTGACAAATGATTTAAAGATTCCTTCATTCCACGTCTCTAAAAAAAGAAATTAATCGAATTAAATTTAAATACGTAATTAAATAAATAATTAATCAAAATTAAAACATAGTCAACTGAACTTGAGGAATATAAAGTGATATTGTCCTAATTTCTAAAGTTTTCATATATATATTAAAAATACATTTTTATTTTATTTTATATAATCAATACTGTGCTATATAAATAATCTCACTTTCTATTCTTTTTTTAATATAAGTAATACTTTGTAGTAAACTTTTACATAGTACTTCTCAAACAGATATACATGTTTAAAAAATGAATATACTTACATGTTTTGTTTCCCTTAAATAATTTTTATCATAAGTATCTTCTGAATTTCCTAATGATCGTTTTTTGAACATGAACATTATGGGTTCCAATAGTTCCGGACAACTCTCTCAGATTGGAATAAGTGCTCAAAAGTATTATTCAACATTCATCACCTGTTACACAAGTTTCTGTACAGTTTTATATTTATTCATATATATGAAAGAGGAAAAACATAATTTTTTTCTATAAAAATGAATAAAAAAATACCTGCAAGGTATATATGTCTCTGTTTGTTGTTTTAGCTTCCTAACAACAAGCGTTTTCTCCTGTAAGCCACATAATTTAAATCCATGTGACAGAAATTTGTCTTTAATTGATCAAAGCAATGCATCCAATTTGTTAATGCGATCGCACAATTTGTATGGAAAAACTGACTTTTGTAATAATCAGAAAAATGTCTACGTGATACATCTGCACCTCTGTAATCCATACATATGAGTATCCTTATAAGAATTGCATCTTCCATACATGACATTGATATTCATATCATGTTGCACGAAAAAGAGATTCTGGGCTGAATTTCTGATTAAAGGCTGCTATTTGCTATGATGAAGTTCTATATTTTCAATTTCCATCCAATTGTAAAACAGAATTGTAAAGTATGCGATGCAACTAAGACTCTTCCATTGCTTCCGTCAACTCTTTTGTCTGTAAAAAACAATGTGATAATAAAATCCTTTTTATCATATTATATTTGTTTAAACTTACTACTATTATAGTTGGTGGCAGAAAACTGTTTATTTTATTCCACTTAGTAAACGTCTCCATGTAACTGCGTGTCACAATGTAACAAGCTCGACCTATACAAAGATACGTAGAGTTAGAATTAATAATAATGATAGTTTATACTTAGATTTGTTAAATATACATTAATTGTTATACATATTTAAAAATAAACAAACATAAAACAATATGCAAAATATATTTAAAATTCACAAATATTTATCTCCCTATATATTTATAATATCAAGATGTAATTACTTCTACTTTCTAATAAACATGTAATATTAAAATAATAATAATTGAAGTTACTTTATTTTTGAGATTATTCCTCTTCTTTTATCATCAGTTTTCTTTTAAAATACAGTAATTTCTTTCACTAATCCTAATATTATCCTAAATATTATAATTGTTAACGACAACATTAATTGTAACATACCTTGTATTTTTTATTATTTAAATTTTTCATTTCATAGCATCATTAACTCGTAAAAATTATTTTGCGTTATTTAATCTAAAACAGGTTATGTCTCATGCGGTCAAGCCTTCAAATGTGCTTGAAAAATCGAGTTTGAATTAATAGGAGAATATATTTTGCAAAGAGGTAGTCGCGCGATAATACGGCAATAATGTCTCTAAAATGTCCGAAAAATTATTTTGAGTTAACAGGCGAACATGTTGTACGAAGAGCTATTAGGAGTTCGCTATTAGGAGACTATATTTTCAAAGAGGTAATTCAAAAATGACAGTCGGTAAATTATCAACGTTGGTAAGTTACCATCATATATAAGTTGTCGCGTTGGTAAGTTACCATCATAATTATCAACATTTATTTCCGATCTTACCTCTTTGAAAATATATTTTCCTAATACCGACCTCTTCGCAAATATATTCTCCTGATAACTACTTCTTCGCCTAATATACTCTCCTATTAACTTAGATGATTTTTCAAGCATATTGAAAGGCTTGACCGCATGAGACATAACCCGTTTTAGATTAAATAACGCAAAATAATTTTTACGAGTTAATGATGCTATTAAGTAAAAAATTTAAAATAATAAGAAATGCAAGGTATGTTACAATTAATGTTGTCGTTAACAATTATAATATTTAGGATAATATTAGGATTAGTGAAAGAAAGTACTGTATATTAAAAGAAAACTGATAATGATAAAAGAAGAGGAATAATCTCAAAAATAAAGCAACTTCAATTATTATCATTTTAATATTACATGTTTATTAGAAAGTAGAAGTAATTACATCTTGATATTATAAATATATAAGGAGATAAATATTTGTGAATTTTAAATATATTTCGCATATTGTTTTATGTTTGTTTATTTTTAAATATGTATAATAATTAATGTATATTTAACAAATCTAAGTAAAAACTATCATTATTATTAATTCTAACTCTACATATCTTTGTATAGGTCGAGCTTGTTACATTGTTACACGCAGTTACATGGAGACGTTTACTAAGTGGAATAAAATAAACAGTTTTCTGCCACCAACTATAATAGTAGTAAGTTTAAACAAATATAATATGATAAAAAGGATTTTATTATCACATTGTTTTTTACAGACAAAAGAGTTGACGGAAGCAATGGAAGAGTCTTGGTTGCATCGCATACTTTACAATTCTGTTTTACAATTGGATGGAAATTGAAAATATAGAACTTCATCATAGCAAATAGCAGCCTTTAATCAGAAATTCAGTCCAGAATCTCTTTTTCGTGTAACATGATATGAATATCAATGTCATGTATGGAAGATGCAATTCTTATAAGGATACTCATATGTATGGATTACAGAGGTGCAGATGTATCACGTAGACATTTTTCTGATTATTACAAAAGTCAGTTTTTCCATACAAATTGTGCGATCGCATTAACAAATTGGATGCATTGCTTTGATCAATTAAAGACAAATTTCTGTCACATGGATTTAAATTATGTGGCTTACAGGAGAAAACGCTTGTTGTTAGGAAGCTAAAACAACAAACAGAGACATATATACCTTGCAGGTATTTTTTTATTCATTTTTATAGAAAAAAATTATGTTTTTCCTCTTTCATATATATGAATAAATATAAAACTGTACAGAAACTTGTGTAACAGGTGATGAATGTTGAATAATACTTTTGAGCACTTATTCCAATCTGAGAGAGTTGTCCGGAACTATTGGAACCCATAATGTTCATGTTCAAAAAACGATCATTAGGAAATTCAGAAGATACTTATGATAAAAATTATTTAAGGGAAACAAAACATGTAAGTATATTCATTTTTTAAACATTTATATCTGTTTGAGAAGTACTATGTAAAAGTTTACTACAAAGTATTACTTATATTAAAAAAAGAATAGAAAGTGAGATTATTTATATAGCACAGTATTGATTATATAAAATAAAATAAAAATGTATTTTTAATATATATATGAAAACTTTAGAAATTAGGACAATATCACTTTATATTCCTCAAGTTCAGTGGACTATGTTTTAATTTTGATTAATTATTTATTTAATTACGTATTTAAATTTAATTCGATTAATTTCTTTTTTAGAGACGTGGAATGAAGGAATCTTTAAATCATTTGTCAGAAATGCGAATGAAAAAGAGATACTGCATTAAGTTTATCTAATCGCGATTTAGAGGCCCTTCTCGAAGATTTTATAATCCTACAACAATTATTAGGTCTTGATCAAGTTGTATTACAAAAAGTATTGAACAATATTGTAAGTATAAAATTATTTATTTGGCAAGAAGGAATTGATAACTCAAACAGAATACGCATACAATTAATTGTATTTTCACAGCCAATGAAGATTTCAAGAGAAAAATATAGTTGCGTGCCTCTAATCGGATTGGATTTGAAGTTTAAAGACAAAATAAAAACGTTGAATTTTCGAAAAAAAATAAAATTTATACATATATGAATATTATAAACAATATATTTATTATATTTAGTCTTTAAAAAGGAAAATACTTTTCAGAGAGATAAATACAATAATATGAGTTAAAAGCATATATTATTTTACATATTGATTTTTATATTATTGTATCATGTTTATATCATTGTTGGAACGCACATGAAATAAAGATATATTAAAAATAAAATGAAACTTAACTATGTTGAAAATTAAAGAGAGAGAGAGTTGTTAATTATAATGGTAACTTACCAACGCGACAACTTATATATGATGGTAACTTACCAACGTTGATAATTTACCGACTGTCATTTTCGAACGACCTCTTTGAAAATATAGTCTCCTAATAGCGAACTCCTAATAGCTCTTCGTACAACATGTCCGCCTGTTAACTCAAAATAATTTTTCGGACATTTTAGAGACATTAATGCCGCATTATCGCGCGACTACCTCTTTGCAAAATATATTCTCCTATTAATTCAAACTCGATTTTTCAAGCATATTTAAAGGCTTGACCGCATGAGACATAACCTGTTTTAGATTAAATAACGCAAAATAATTTTTACGAGTTAATGATGCTATTAAGTAAAAAATTTAAAATAATAAGAAATGCAAGGTATGTTACAATTAATGTTGTCGTTAACAATTATAATATTTAGGATAATATTAGGATTAGTGAAAGAAAGTACTGTATATTAAAAGAAAACTGATAATGATAAAAGAAGAGGAATAATCTCAAAAATAAAGTAACTTCAATTATTATTATTTTAATATTACATGTTTATTAGAAAGTAGAAGTAATTACATCTTGATATTATAAATATATAAGGAGATAAATATTTGTGAATTTTAAATATATTTTGCATATTGTTTTATGTTTGTTTATTTTTAAATATGTATAACAATTAATGTATATTTAACAAATCTAAGTATAAACTATCATTATTATTAATTCTAACTCTACGTATCTTTGTATAAGTCGAGCTTGTTACATTGTTACACGCAGTTACATGGAGATGTTTACTAAGTGGAATAAAATAAACAGTTTTCTGCCACCAACTATAATAGTAGTAAGTTTAAACAAATATAATATGATAAAAAGGATTTTATTATCACATTGTTTTTTACAGACAAAAGAGTTGACGGAAGCAATGGAAGAGTCTTGGTTGCATCGCATACTTTACAATTCTGTTTTACAATTGGATGGAAATTGAAAATATAGAACTTCATCATAGCAAATAGCAGCCTTTAATCAGAAATTCAGCCCAGAATCTCCTTTTCGTGCAACATGATATGAATATCAATGTCATGTATGGAAGATGCAATTCTTATAAGGATACTCATATGTATGGATTACAGAGGTGCAGATGTATCACGTAGACATTTTTCTGATTATTACAAAAGTCAGTTTTTCCATACAAATTGTGCGATCGCATTAACAAATTGGATGCATTGCTTTGATCAGTTAAAGACAAATTTCTGTCACATGGATTTAAATTATGTGGCTGACAGGAGGAAACGTTTGTTGTTAGGAAGCTAAAACAACAAACAGAGACATATATACCTTGCAGGTATTTTTTTATTCATTTTTATTGAAAAAAATTATGTTTTTCCTCTTTCATATATATGAATAAATATAAAACTGTACAGAAACTTGTGTAACAGGTGATGAATGTTGAATAATACTTTTGAGCACTTATTCCAATCTGAGAGAGTTGTCCGGAACTATTGGAACCCATAATGTTCATGTTCAAAAAACGATCATTAGGAAATTCAGAAGATACTTATGATAAAAATTATTTAAGGGAAACAAAACATGTAAGTATATTCATTTTTTAAACATGTATATCTGTTTGAGAAGTACTATGTAAAAGTTTACTACAAAGTATTACTTATATTAAAAAAAGAATAGAAAGTGAGATTATTTATATAGCACAGTATTGATTATATAAAATAAAATAAAAATGTATTTTTAATATATATATGAAAACTTTAGAAATTAGGACAATATCACTTTATATTCCTCAAGTTCAGTTGACTATGTTTTAATTTTGATTAATTATTTATTTAATTACGTATTTAAATTTAATTCGATTAATTTCTTTTTTTAGAGACGTGGAATGAAGGAATCTTTAAATCATTTGTCAGAAATGCGAATGAAAAAGAGATACTGCATTAAGTTTATCTAATCGCGATTTAGAGGCCCTTCTCGAAGATTTTATAGTCCTACAACAATTATTAGGTCTTGATCAAGCCGTATTATAAAAAGTATTGAACAATATTGTAAGTATAAAATTATTTATTTGGCAAGAAGGAATTGATAACTCAAACAGAATACGCATACAATTAATTGTATTTTCACAGCCAATGAAGATTTCAAGAGAAAAATATAGTTGCGTGCTTCTAATCGGATTGGATTTGAAGTTTAAAGACAAAATAAAAACGTTGAATTGTCGAAAAAAAAATAAAATTTATACATATATGAATATTATAAACAATATATTTATTATATTTAGTCTTTAAAAAGGAAAATGTTTTTCAGAGAGATAAAAATACAATAATATGAGTTAAAAGCATATATTATTTTACATATTGATTTTTATATTATTGTATCATGTTTATATCATTGTTGGAACGCACATGAAATAAAGATATATTAAAAATAAAATGAAACTTAACTATGTTGAAAATTAAAGAGAGAGGGAGTTGGTAATTATGATGGTAACTTACCAACGCGACAACTTATATATGATGGTAACTTACCAACGTTGATAATTTACCGACTGTTTTTTTGAACGACCTCTTTGAAAATATAGTCTCCTAATAGCGAACTCCTAATAGCTCTTCGTACAACATGTTCGCCTGTTAACTCAAAATAATTTTTCGGACATTTTAGAGACATTATTGCCGCATTATCGCGCGACTACCTCTTTGCAAAATATATTCTCCTATTAATTCAAACTCGATTTTTCAAGCATATTTAAAGGCTTGACCGCATGAGATATAACCTGTTTTAGATTAAATAACGCAAAATAATTTTTACGAGTTAATGATGCTATTAAGTAAAAAATTTAAAATAATAAGAAATGCAAGGTATGTTACAATTAATGTTGTTGTTAACAATTATAATATTTAGGATAATATTAGGATTAGTGAAAGAAAGTACTGTATTTTAATAGAAAACTGATAATTATAAAAGAAGAGGAATAATCTCAAAAATAAAGCAACTTCAATTATTATCATTTTAATATTACATGTTTATTAGAAAGTAGAAGTAATTACATCTTGATATTATAAATATATAGGGAGATAAATATTTGTGAATTTTAAATATATTTTGCATATTGTTTTATGTTTGTTTATTCTCAAATATGTATAATAATTAATGTGTATTTAACAAATCTAAGTATAAACTATCATTATTATTAATTCTAACTCTACATATCTTTGTATAGGTCGAGCTTGTTACATTGTTACACGCAGTTGCATGGAGACGTTTACTAAGTGGAATAAAATAAACAGTTTTCTGCCACTAACTATAATAGTAGTAAGTATAAACAAATATAATATGATAAAAAGGATTTTATTATCACATTGTTTTTTACAGACAAAAGGGTTGACACAAGCAATGGAAGAGTCTTGGTTGCATCGCATACTTTACAATTCTGTTTACAATCGGATAGAAATTGAAAATATAGAACTTTATCACAGCAAATAACAGCCTTTTAATCAGAAATGATCTTCGTCTTCGTCTCTCACATAGTGTATGCATCCTATCAATATTAATAGTGTATATATGCCTATATTATATGTATACCTATTTTATATATATATATATATATATATATATATATATATATATATATATATATATATATTGTTCGTCGAATTGAATCCAGTTATAGATGTTAATAAGGCTGCGTTCGTTTTGGAGGCTTTCAGCGCTATAAGCATCTTCTGTTTTCGTTTGATATGCAACGTTCGATGTGCAACGAAGACAGAAAGATGCCTATAGCGTTGAAAGCGTCAAAGCGAACGCAGCCTAAGTGATGAATAGGTTTGATTGAATGTATAGATAAAATTGAAAAATAAACGAGACCAGGGCTCCTTAAGTAAGCCACAGGCAACTGCGATCTGCAATCAATATATCTGTCAATCGAGCACGTCAACAGAAACTTTCCTTTAGCGCAGGTCGATCTCGATTTATGGCATGGCGCCTAGCCGAATATTTATTTATCTTCTTGCGAGAAAGCACAAAGAACTGATTACTAGATTACAAATCGATGTGAAATCCGTTCGACAGACGCTTTCTTCTTCTTTTATGGATGTCTGTCCCTTTTGATTTTAACATAGCACTGTGCTTTCTCTTTCCTATTCTCCTTTCTCTCTATTTTCCTTGTTTCAATGTTTAATTTCACTTTGTTCTTATTTAACTCTTTTGTATTTAAAAAAATAAACAATTTATATGTATTTTATTAAAATTATAAAAAAAGATTTTAATCAAACTTACTTCAACTGATAAGATATATATATATATATATATTCATATTGCTTGAATTAGAGAATTAATGTTTTCAAAGAAAGTGGATAGACGAGTATTAGTACAAATTAGATAACAGGAAGATGAAAATATTTTGTCATTTATATAAGTAGTATTCGGAAATCATTTATCTCTCTTTATTCAATTCAATCCGCTCACTTTTATTTTAATAACTTTATTGACAAACCTAATATTAAACTTTTCAAATAAAATCTTAATACATTATTTCTTTAGATAATAAATAATTTTAAAAATTCAGCAGAATAAAGCAAGCTTTGATCTTCAGGATGGTCCAAATTTATCAATCCTTGACAAAGAGCTATAAGAACTTATAGCTGTAGGATTATAGCAGCAGCAGGATGCCATGGTAATCTCGCCTACAGCACCTTGTGCTGTGGAAGTCTGTGTCTTTACTTTCACTGCTGATCCGATCTAAGACACGTTGTCTCTTGTAACAATCTTCTGGGATCCCAAAGAGTCGTCCGGGCGATTAAAACGTCGTCGCATATCAGAAGAGAAGATGAATAATCAAGTAGCGCTTCGCGAATATCGATTGACCGAGCGCGATCGCGCATCCCCTTTGGCCACTATTGATCTGTTCCTGTTGTTTGCTGGACAATATCTTTGCCGTGCCATCAACACAGAAAGCACGACCATTGGAATTGGAATTTACATCGTGCTGAGCGAAGACGAGTCGCGAATACCAGAGACATAAATTTCGCGAAATGCGTAAGCGTATTCGCGCGGACAATCGAGATATCAAAAATAAAAGAAACACGGGAAAAAACAGCGAAAATATATATGTGGGGAAAATACGCAACATTATCTTCTAAATTATGAATGAAAAAAAAAGAAGTTAAATAGCAAAGGTAGCTTGTCTTCGTCTTTTCGAGATTTGATTAAAGATCGCAGAGAAAGAAAAAGTTTTAATTATTCCTGTAAGATTTTGAAGGTCAAATTTTATATTCTATAAAGAGTCACGTATGATTATTTAAAAACTTATTCAAATTAATTAAATTAGCATATATAACATCTTTATACAAATTATCATTTTTTATACAAATTTTATATTATCAGTATGAAATAGTGGATGTTCAAATAGAATATCTCATTGCAATATATTAGTAGCATAATGTGATATTATTTTAATTAAATTTAAAATTAATTACTCGAAAATGTTGACGTTATTGAACTCCAGCTGACACAGTTATCAGTTATCTAAAATTATCGAATATTTATTCGAGACTCGCCACATCTGTTCTTTTACGAAAGAAAATAATATCTTCGAAAATATATCGTCGCGTCAATTTATCGGACAGCGCACGTTGCCCCGTCACCTGCATATATGGAAAATGTTCTGCAACCGATGCAAGAAGGTGCGTCATTGCCCAAGAGATCGCTGACTCTTCTCCAAATCATGACATTTTAACGTTGTACGAACAGAATTATTCTCTTTGTAGTAGGAGAACAATGACAGAAATAGAGCCGCGTTTATAAAAATTGCAATTTTTAATTACAAAGACTATAATATTGTTAGTTATGCAATGTCTTATGGTATGCAAATCATCTAATACATTTAACCGACTCGATCACCCAGCGGGTTCACAAAGTAAGCGAGTAACGCGCCACTTCGACTTGTCTCCTTAGGTTTGTGCGAAACCTAAATCCGTGTATTTACGGTGTATTACACACGCAATGTGAGGGGGTGAACGTGCGAGTGTCATTAAAGATATGTCGGACATATATATATGCTATCGCACGTATATGCTATCGCAAACCCGTGCACGGGTGGTTGCTACCAGAGTGAGAGTGCCATATATATAGAGAGAAGGGGAAACTTGACTCGGCACTCCAAAGTACACAGCCTCCGCGATTACAGTGGTGTGCTCCTTCTTCGGTTTCTTCTATTTTGTTGTCGTCTAATATCCATTTCTCGCGCCAGTGGTAACAATCGGCCACAAATAAGTGGTTTTTTCTTTCTCGCACGTCGCAGTCGTCAAAAGAGAGCACGACATCCGCAGAACCAATTTCTACGACAAGCTGTGTGTGTCAGCATCATGAAACTTACGTTGTTCACGTGAGTACGCGCCATTCGTGGCTCACGATTCGATACAATTGAATGCTTCGGTGTAAAAATAAAATCTGTAAAAAATATATATATATATTAGATACGACTTTGCATAATTTAAAGTAAATTTCGCAGTTTATAGACTGCTTCGCAGTTTATTCCATTCTTGCATTAAACTCCTCAATGTTTCTCGCAATCTCTCTATAATAATCAAATGTAATCGCAGTCACGCTAATCTTTAATTGCAGATGATCATACTAAATTTATATTTATAGAGTTTTCTGATTGAACAGCTGTTTGATGTTACTAAATAAAAATAAACAGCAAAAGTTCTTTTTTAATTTTAGATATATTTTTAATTATTCGCACAAATTACGTATCATATTATTTGACAATATTAAATACTTTCTGATCAAAAAATGTAAATATCAAAAATATGGGTGCAAGAAAAAATTAGGCATTATTACATTGGTCAATTCTAATCTATATATATTAATATAAATCACAATCAATCTAAATAGATGGCTCAATCTAAATAATTCCAAGGCCATACATTATACATTCGAAATTGAAAGGTATACACGCTACTTACATATGTATACTCGTTGTCTCAGGCTTAATATCCGTAATTGTTAACCCCTGCGGAAATTCCAGATGTGAGCCGATAATTCTCGATCGCGAACGCGCGTATATTGATTTATAACGTCCAGCAGCCCAACAATATATCCCGAATCGTTTAGCATAGCATTTCCATACGAATTAAAGCTAATACCTATCACGGTTGGATCCTAAAACATGAATATATATGAGAATTTATTTAATTTACGTATTTTATAAATTTTCTTTGCTTATATTGACTTATATTAATTTCTTTCACGCTTTTATTTAACAACAACTCGACTATCGAATTCAAGCGGCTGCAAATCATGTCACTTGACATATATGTATACATACATCCTTGTATATATATGTATAATAATGTATATTGATAACGGGATGCAGAGAGGCACGTTATGCAAACGGACAGTTGCAGTAGCTCGAGTTCTTTCCTGGTTCTGATCAGGAAATTGATTAGAAAAGTCGCAACGAGAGAGTGAGAGCGCATAACACTGATTGCTACTGCAATCGATCAATATATGCAATATATGATACTATTCATCAACAAGTTCAGAAACAAGGATGGAGTTAAATCATCATTATTCGGAACAAAGTATTTTGGCTTCTGTAAACAAGAGATGCTGAAGCAAGTTAAGCATCATTGAATTTCTCCATATGTTTGCGCATTAAAATTCAATTTTTGACGAATAATAGCAAAATATATCAAGGGTAACGATGATTCTATTTTAATTAATAAGAGTTGAGAGAAATTTTTAACTTTTTATATGATAAATACATATTAAATCTTGTCCAAAAACTTAAAAAGAGTAAACCAGAAAGATTAGGATAAAAAATATAAGAAAGAATGAAAGAGAAAAAAGATGAAAAGAATAACGGCAACGAAAATGCATGACGGTAGCAATGCATGCCCATACATTACGTTAACGACATCCTGTAGGTGAAATAATGCGAATGTAATCGCTTCCTTCCAAGGCGAAGTTCAGTGATCCCGCTATATGCGACACAATCAGGCTGGTATGATGAATTGCTTTATTCCTGGAAAGATATAAATAAAGATTTACATATATGTTAGAGAGATTATGCTAATAAGAATTGCATTAGAACAATCTCGTATTCCTGCATACGATGAAACTTAACATCCAAATATTTAAATAAAATGAAAATATAAATTGCAGATTCGATAAGTGAGAAAGTAAATTGATTACGTGAAAACGTAATGAAAACAATTATTTTATTTTAACTTTGCACTGAAATTTTTAAGTCACTTCACTATTATTCTTAATATATGCTGCAGAACCTTTATACATCTCCTTTGTTATAAAAATTTTAAATAGTTGACTGATAATAATGATACTAATTAGAGAACGACGAGAAATTTAATTATGCGTTATGCAAATTTATTGACAAATAATCTTATCGCATTACTATATCGTAACGTAAACTTTTAACTACTACTACTAGATTACTGAATCGATAAGCACATAGCAACTTTTTAATTTGGATACTCTTGCGTAACACATTCTCAAAATTCTATAAATCTTCTAAATCTAAAATTCTATATATTAAATGGATAAGTATTATTTCATATATATTTGTGCACACGTATATGCATATTTTTTAATTTATCTATAAATACATATTTTTAAAAATAAAAATTATTAAAATAAAGTTTGTTATTAAAAAATGTTAAGATAAGCTATAGAAAGTCAAGTAAAAGGAGAGTTTAATCACGATGGCAAAATAAAAATTATTATTGATGCAATGTATAAATTAAATAACACGCATAGCTTTATTGCAGAAAACGCGAGCAATTGACGTTTATGAGACATGTCTTGTTAATTATGAAGCAAGTATGAAGATAAATCTAATATCTTTGACAATAAACGTCTTTCTTGTCCTTGTTTAAAAGCATGATATAACGCGATAATATCTTATGAATAAACGTTGCTATTCTATTTCGAAGAACAAATGGATTTTTATGTACAATATTCAGATAGAATATTAATTAAGCGTCAGTTAACACATTCATAATACAGAAATATTCATCGAAGACATTATTACGACATTATAATGAATGATACGCGTCATTTTCAATGAGCTTCGCATAGAGCAAGAGTATCAATTTGCGGGATATAATTTCCTCTTTGGAACTCCTTTCAGTAAAGAACTTGGTCGCTGTTCGAATAAAAGAACTTCTATTCAATGAAGTAATCACGATTAAATAATCAAAAGCGTAAAAAAATTGCTTTGAAAATCAGGAGAAGAAGCTCGAAACTGTGAAAGTGAGAAGGATTATTTAATTTTAGACATTGAATACACATGTAATCAATATACCTCATTAATTCCGAAGAAAGTGTTGGAAGTATTAGATAAGAGAAAATTATTACTAAACAAACAAAATATATTTTAAAATATGTTAACGTGTGCTAATAATATCTTTCAACTGATAAATTGATAACAATAATGATACAGTACTGTATTACTACTTAATGTCGTAAGTCACATTTAAGATTACATTAAAATTTGCAAATGTAATCTACGGTACAAGATTATGAAATCACATAGAAATCTGCAATTCACGTTTTTTGTCAGAAAATAGATAAACAATGTTGTTTCGTCAAAAGGAGACACATTAGGAAATTTATTTACGAATTCTGTACAAATAAGGATCAAGTTTGAGTTTGTTGTAATACATTTCAAAAAATCCGTCAGAAAATTAGGACGCGAACATAGCGGCTCTGTAAATATCAACGTTCTTTTAAATTTTCATCATAGAAATTGTAATTTTTCTATCAATATTTTTTTAGAAATGTATGTATACATCTTAAATTTAATTTGGATGCACTCCATGTAATTAATGCCATGTAATTAAGATAAACACAACTATAAAACGTCAATGAATGCAGAGTTGAAGGAATTAAATTGAATTAATCTCGAATACAATTAATTATTACCACATTCAATTGTTCAAGAATAAAATTGACTTTAGTCAAGCTTAGAAAAAGATTTGATTTGTCGAATCAATTTTGATTAATTCATACGAAGATAATTATTTTTCAAAGATTATCTACTGATTTTTTTCCAAAAAATTAAAGAGAAATTATTATTAAGAGTATTTAAAATTTTACAGAAATAACTTCTCTTTCAAACTACTCTTTCGAATGATAATGAATAAGTTTGTCTTACAAAATGCTATCATTGTTCTCGTCCCAATTCGTGTTTCGAATTCGTATTTTCGCAATCGTGGTCTGCGCACGAATTCGGTGATCTATCAATCGGGATCGCCTCGACTTTTTGCAGATCCTTCGAAATTTTGCCTTCCCTTTCTTCAACTCTCTTTTCTTACCCAGGGACCTCGAGTTTGGCTGGTTTTCTTGACATTTGTGAGCCGCCTCACGTATATATGAATGTCCCGTCGTAACGGCACGGCCAATCCCGAACAGTGCGAGTTGCACGAGCAGAGAAAGTAAGTCTCGTGTACGTGAATATCACAGGTCAAAATCCACCTGGTGTACACGGATCTACTATCACGCGAAGCGAAGAAACACGTCGTGCCGAGCCACGCCGAGCATACGTAATAATCGCATTGCACGACGCATGAAGTAGGACCTTTTGTCCTCGGATTCCTTTTTCGATCCTGGCGAAAGTTGCGCTTGGGGATTCCATCCTGCGTGTGTCCTGCACAAAACTGTCAACGTGAAAATGATTGCTTGATGCGTTACAGATCTGTTACAGAAAAGAAACTTGTCTTCTGACGAATAAAAATTCTTTAGTTCAAATAAACAGGAAGATGTAAAAGTCTAGAAATTTGTTTTTTAGAGAAAATTAATAAATCTCCAAAATCATGAAAGAAATTCTCATTAAATGAATAAGAATAAATATAGAAATATTTTTTTTATATTTAACACATAGTAAGATTTTAAATAAAGCTTTTAAAAACACAAAAATTAAGATGTGGATAAGAAATTAAATTTTAAATTCTATTTTTTAATTTCTATAATAAAGCTACATAATCTCGTGAACTCCAGCTTCTGAATTTTCAGGGCGGTAATCTTATTTTGCATACTTTGCTGTCTCTTAAGTGCAACCTATCAATTTAACCGTAATAAACGTTACAAACTTGTTTCGCGACAGCGTTACATCTAGTACTTGAATAACATTCTTTTTTAATTACACGACAGCGACAGATTGTTTAGTGGTTTTCATACAATCCTTCGACTTGACGCTTTTCTCTTCGATAATTTTCTATGAACGTAACTGTGCATGCTCGATCGCGTGCTGCAAACTTTAGCATATCTGGTTTGTAAAACGTTCTTCCGTAATTCTTGTAATATCTATTGATTTGTATTTTACAACACTTATACACGAGTTTCGTTCTAAATATATCTTGCACTAATAATATCTTGCATTTATTTTATTTTTGTGTATTCTTTGAAAATAATTTCCCTATATATTTCTAATATAGCTATAATTAAAGGAATTATTCCATCAAATGAAAAGGATAGACTATAAATTTCACTTTATCTTAAATAAAATGAATTATGAAAAGGAGGCGTTAATGTAGACAGAAATTATAACTTACGTAACGTATTCTTTGCAGAATATTCGCTCTCTGTGTAATAGCTGTCAGATCAGCCGAGGAAGAGGAATATGATTACGAAGAAGAAGTAGCAGCACCGGTGACACCGGCACCGACGAAACGAACAAGTGGGCTAGGAAGTCTTTTATCTTCGAGAGGACGCGCCAATGTTCCACCTGTAGCAGGGAAAAAAAGAGTATCACCAGTGAGTTTGTTTTATTTTACATTAATGCACTAATTATTGAACATTTGGTTATCTTAAGTAGAATATTTTTAATATACATATACAATATAATAAACGCACTATATATATAAAACAAAGTTTGTAATATAATCAACAGTAAATAAATCACGATTAATTATAATTATATTAAAAGTTGAATCTGATATTTAATAATAAATATCTTGGTAAAGAAAATATACAAAATATAATCCTTTTACTTTTTCTCTTTTCTTTTCATTTGTTAGACTCAATCAACGACATCGAAACCGATAGAACAAGTACCCGAGGAAGATGACGTGGAAGGTGACGATGAGTTTGAAAACAGTCAGGATCATGAAGCTCCTACAACAACAACTGAATCTGCGAAGAAACTTCGTAATGGTGGCGTTAGGCCCTTTAGGTAACTATTCGATGAAATGGTGTTTCTTCAGATATTGCATGCAGATATTTTCCTCCTAACAAATATACGCGCAATATAATTTTAGGTCAAATGAAGATCTCTTGGCCGCTCTGAAGAGAAGAAGAGCGCAGACCGGACCTAGTAGTCATCCACGAGAAACTGCTAGTACGCCTTCTGCAGTAGAACATACAACAGCCAAGACAAAGTAATTCAACATGATAAAAAAAAGATGTATATTCTCATACAAAATATTTATAATATTGTGTATTATATGTGCAATAAAATAATGTATTTCAGAGCTACCACAAACAATCGTAACAAAGCTAGCATAGGAAGCGAAACAAGAACATCAGGACGCAGTAGATTCGGAGGAAAAGGAAGTAAGGCTACACAGGAGGAGGTCGAAGAGACTCAGCAAGAAGAGGTCCAAGTGAAACCTAAAGCTTATCGCAGGGGTTAAATCGCCATGTGATAAAACTTGTTGATTTCTTAGAAAACACATTAATCAAATTTTGACGACTTAGGAAAACACCATGTGCTCACAAACTCTGTGTCGTCTTCTATATTGCAAAGTTCAAGACCTTTGTAAAACGATCTCGTCGATGAATCTCTCGCAGCAAATGTGCTGTTGCTGTTTCGGAGAAAAGGTTTAATTTTTGCGCACTCGAATTTTTTCGACAACATAATTAATTGCTATATATATAAAGATTTTAATATATTTTGGACACACACGAATATAAAGATATTACGTCTTTCTCGAAGAATGATAGGCTTTGTTCGTGTTTCACCATACAATGTAAAAATATGAGAGATCAAGAAGAAAATTGAAAAGTCAGCATATCGATTATTATAATAGGCGTTAATCAGAAAGAACAAAGTCTTTCTCTTCATTGTTAAGTAATGTATATGTATATATATAGCAAAATATTGCCATCCCTCAAGTACTTAAATCATCTATTATATAAATGTAAATTAATATGACAATAAAGTGTTTCTGGAAAAAAAGACTCTACTTCATTCATGCTGTTTTTCACAATTATTTTCGCAATACAAGTTTTATCGAAACAATATTTTATTTAATTAAAACAATTACTGTAATTACTTGAATGTATAGAAAATGCAAAAAATGTGACGAGTACAAAATACGAAATTATTTAAATTTAAATTAATATTTAATATGAAATCATACTTTTTTTCTCAAGTCGTATATCAAAGTGTAAATAGTGATAACAAGAAATTTGAAAGAAATATAAGAAAAATGTAGGTGTAACATGAATAAAATACAATAGGAGATTAGCTTTACGTAGGTAGGGGAAAAAGATATTTTTAGTTGTGACGTTAAAAAAAATAAATTATTTATCAGTCAACACGCTTAGAGGAATTTGATAACAAAGCGTTTCTACGACTTTTGATTAATCAAATCGGCGCCCACTAGACGCGCAATCTTTTCCATTATTGTCTCGTCACATTTCGCAAATATTCGGGTCATGATAAAAGAATAATGATGCACACCTCGCGGAATGTGAACCCCAGAGAAACTCCTACGATGACTCGGAATGTCGGGGGCGTTTGCTGCATGCACTCCCGCATTCTTAGATCTCGCATTATGCGATTGTAGCCATAAGAATCACCTATCATCACTCCCAAAAGTTTGGTGGTATACAACCGATTTAAAAAAATTGTTTCAAGAAAGATAACAATGATGTGACTCATGATAAAAAAATGTAATCATTCAGCATTATACGTTTTAATTTCATTCTTTTTGAGAGTCTCTTGTGGTATGCATTTTAAACTATAATTTAAAAATTGGAACTAGGGTTGGTATAACAAATAACAGGTCGTGATACAAATCGATGACTGATCCAAAAGGAATGACCTATAGACTAATATATATATATTTCGTTCGTGAGCACGAGAGCGCTGAACTTTAAAGTTTATCATAGGTTCGAAATAATCGGAGAAGAGATGCGAGATTTTTGCAATTTCGGCTATTTTCGTGCCACGCAGCCTTGGGACAATCAAGATGGGAGAGCCAAATGAACCGTCCAATAATTTGAGAGAGAGAGAGAGAGCGGATAGAATGCTAGAAAACGAGAAGAAACCAAAGAGAGAAAGAGAGAGAGAGAAAGGTGGCTTTCGCGATCGAGGACCATAAGAGCAGAGGTATAGGACGGGCAGAAAAGTGAGAGGAAGTGGCATCTGGTCGGCCTTGAAGCCTTTACGAGGAACATTTCACTCATACAGAACATCCAAGCTGCGTCATGATATCGGGATGCCACATTTCGGCCACGAAACGAAAGGAAAGGTGAGAAGAAAAGAAAAAGTGGCTCGAGAGGAGAAGCACAGTGTCATTTCTGAAAAACAGAAATAAAAGATGTTATAAGAATGTAGAAGAATTTTCATCTCTAAAGTTGAACAAATCTTGTAAGTGAACAAATGACATTTTTTTAAGTCATAATCACATCCATATTATGACAAATGACAGAATGATGATAGATGTAGAATGGCAGATAGATGTATTAATCGGATTGCTTAAAAGACAAGATTAAATGTAACATCTTAAAAAACACGGAATTTTAATTTAGATCTTTATAAGTAAAAATAACATCTCCATAAAAGTTTAATATATATCTTAATAATATAATTTGTAAGATCTTAATAATTTTATACTTTAAATAAACAAGTTTAAAGAATGATAGCTTTCAAATGAAAATGATAGCTTATGAGAGATGCGCGATCAGTAAAGTGTCTACGATTTTAATCACGACTCGAAAATAATCTGATCCTATTCTCCGTAACATCTTTAATCCGGCAAGACACTCCATTAGGAATTTTTTTCCATTTCTCTCGACCTCCATCGTTAATGCAACTATCTTCACCAGTTACTGCGAAATCGCTATTGTTCATAATGAAGAAAAGTACGATTACCGTCTTTGACACGTAAAAATATAATATGCAGTGAAAGGAGAGAAATTTCGATGTCATGACGATTCGTGATATCTCTGATTGCACTGGCAAATCTGCTCTCCTAGAAAAGTATACTATCGCCATTATTACAGTAAAAATTAAATCCAACTCTTAAAACATCATGCATTCTTTCTTATCAATTCTTTGTTTTTAAATAAATTCGAGGACAATATTTCCTTTGCAAATATTTTATAAAACATTGTTTGTTTCAACAATTTTCTTTAATTCTAACACATATTGATTTAAGTCTAATTAAGTAATAATGCCAAGCTAATTCTATTATATAAATTAATATAAAGCAGTAATTTTTGTGTATTATTTGTTTCCAATTCTTAATTTATTATAATGACGAAATAGTCGTATAAATATATTGTATAATTAAATTCCGTTATATCGTCAGACATGATAGTCTATTACATAACGAAATGTGCTTAAGATGGTTATAATATACAACTTTTAAGTGTCAACAAGAATGTATATCCGTGAGCGATGCAACAAATCTAAGTTGACCTTTCGATAATGTCATAGAAAAAATTGCAAAAATAATATTTTTTACTTATCAATCTATTCATGAAAAAAATTCTACAGTATTTTTCATAAAATATATGTATTTGAAATAAATCAATAAAATGTATAATCCCAAATAAACTAAAATTATAAATCAATTTTAAAATAGATATTTCAATTTTTTTATTTAATCAATCAGAATCCTTTTCTTATTTTTCAAAGAGATTTAAAATAAATAGAAGTAATAATTATCAGTTGTATGAAAGAAGCGATCTCTCGTGACAAATACGATTCTGCAATTATATGTATAAATGTGTGCATTTCAACGAATTGCAATTGCGTTTACTGTCACCAACAACAAATGGTCATTGCGACATGAGGAAACAATTATGGAAATACGTGTATTATAACTCAGCGCGTATTGCACAAACTGTAACAGTGCATATCCTCCAAGAACAAATGAGTGTGTTTGTCGATTGCTCACCAAGGCGGTCCATAATTACACTTTATTTGCAAGAGTAAAGAATTGTTGCATTAAGAAGAGATATTCTTAATCTATTATTCCTCACGAGAAGCGAAGGATTACTCAAGGCACTGCGTCAGGATGATGCGAATATATTAATTCTCAAGATTAAGTAATAGGTATACCAGTGAGTTTTGCCTATATACTAATTTAATTTAATTAAATAATTTGCAGAGAAATTCCATAGAAGTTTCATATTTTTTCAATGCCAAGCAATATTCTTCAATGTTTAATAATTATATATTATTGTAGAAGTCAAATAGATCTTACTGAGAACATTGAAAAATTGTGCCATGTAACATTAACTGATCTGATTTAATTAACCAATCTTTAATCGTAATCATATATCTTGTTATTAATAATTTTCTTATCTTACGAATCAAAGAGAAAAAAGCGATAGAAATTACAGAGTTAATAATGCTTAGATGTTAGCGAGCAAGACCGCAATTAAAATCGTGTCCTAATCAACAAAATCAATGAGCAATAACACGAGATGGCAATAATAAAGCAAAAATAAAACGCCATACACGGCGAGAGGAAGAGGAAAGGACTTTCTCTCAATCGGATGGAGATCCTTATTCGCTTTCCCTGATATCGAATCGCCCTGATATCCATGCTTGTCGAACGCAGGATCAATGTAAGAATAAAAGTGAGAAAAGTAATTATAAAATTGTATTATATCACAGAGTGAATCCAACAGAAAGATAAAATTTTTGTGCTCAAACAGCGTATTATTACGCGATTGTAACGAGAAAGTCGAAATTATATGAAGTTATTCGACAGAATCGGAATTACCGTTGCGAATCTATAATTGTTAAACCGACTATAGCGATTACCTAACAACGACTTCACCGATAAATCCGCATAATTATCAACTAGTATAAAGCTGTTCGATTTTTTTTTGTCGTTCTTCTTCAACTTCTTACGCAACTTTTTACGCTTAAATACCCGATTGCGTAATGTACGAATGCGAATTATTCGCAAAATACAAATGCCACGTTCTCGAGGAATACACGCATAATAAATGGAATGAATCAAACTAACGTATCGATTCGAGAATAAGAAAAAAAAGCGATATGCCCACGAGTGACAATATAATTATAACGTTTTCGACGATCACGATTGATACATATTAGGCATTCACACGTTTATTACATGTTTACATGAATGTATGCCAATGTTAAGGTCACCACACAAGATATAATAAAACTATTCCAATAAAGAAAAATGATATCCCTCTCAAAACATAATACTTTAGAATAAGTTTCTATTATAAGAATGACAAAAATTTTCCAATTGTTCCATGTTAAGTTGATACTTTTACTTATATTTGTTAAATAATTTAAAGTTTTTAACATTATTAATCGTTTCAATTTTATATAGATTTAAAAAAAACAATCAGTGTTTTATATTCAATTATACTCTTACAATTATTAGTTGTAATTATATGTGTGTAATATCTTCTTAAAATTAACATGAAATAAATTGAAGAAGGAATAAGATCTTTTTATGTTTTGTTCAAAATATCAACAATCTCAATTAAAATATTTGATCTCTCTTGAAAACTATAATAAAAAAAAATATTGATTTTGATCAAAATTACTACTATTAGTTTGCCTGTCTTCTTAATCGAGAAGTTTCCTCTAAATGATAGTTGTACTGACACACCCACGTGCGTTTGCTAAGTGCGTACAACAAAATGTAGAACTTTGCGATCATCTAAAGTGGGTCAAGTTGATATCCGGTTTCGCGAAACCGGAACGCTCGGCCATGCGTAAAATCTTTCTCTACGAATGATTCTCGATCTCTCGAGATGCATTTCATAAAGCGATAATAGTGGCGCGTTAGACTGGATGCATATTATTTAGATACGCATCACTGCGCGTATTTACCAGAGAAACGGAAGTATAAAACTTCAGATTTTCAAGAAACGACAGGAAAGACCCAGATTCACTGACGATTCCTAAATTTCACGAAAAATATAACAAACAAAAGCTAGAGTCCGCTGTAAACATGTAACCAGCGGTAAATCAAATCGTTGAAGCCTAATTATGCCGCCGTTTTCTTTCTAAAAAAAGAAGCTACCAAACAAAGATAATAGTCATCTTGCAATTTTATCGTGCATCAGTTTTATCTCGTTTTATCGCTTTTACGACAGAAAAACATATTAGCATTTACGTAAGGAAAAGCGACGGTAGATTGTATGAGAAATAAAGATGCACGCGGATGCTTTCACACGAACATCTCCCATAAGCTCGTGATAAATGTCTCTTTGCAAATGGGGAAACGCAAGGTTTATTTCGCGAGAGACGCGTGTTAAATGAGAGAGTACCTGATGGGATGAACGCTGGAGGAAGGAAAACGCCTGGACTGGTCGATCTCCCTCGACAAAAGCGAGTAGGAGGCACTTTCCATGAAATTCCTTTAGGCGCCACGAATTTCGTCATTCTGCGCCTCGTCTGCAAACGAAATCGAAAACATTTTATTACTATCGCTTATTCACTGGTGACGGCGAAAGGCCCTTGACTCGGCCTTGTACAGTAAACAAGATTCAGAGAAATTTGTTTCGTAAAAATACGAAAATATTCATCCACTTCGATCGTTAATCGATGGAAAAAATTTTTAACTTTCTATTCTCTGTTTCTTTCACACATGTGAACAAATATCGAAATAATTATATAAATATTAATGTTATACACTTATAACTAATTAAGAATGCAATGCAGTTATACATATGCAATTTCAATCTGTCCATTTAATAAATACAGATAGAATCATCAGCCTAAAGTCGTATAGCAGACTATTTTATACTACATAAACGCGGTTTTCGCCAATGACGCCATTGTTTCCGTGGCTGCTCATCAATATTTATACGCACCTTAGAAATTCCGGTCCTATCCCGTCCTTAACATTGAATAGCTTTAGCCGTGTTCAATTTTAGATATGCGAGAAGATATTTTGCAACGTTCGGGATTTCACTTCGATTTATCGCATTCTCGAAAGATCCCGCAAATTGCTACCTAGAAAAAATTTACATGTAATCATACTGATTTCTATCCATTGATACAAATAAAAAATATACTTAATAAAAAATAGCTGATAAACATACTGTATAGATTAACATTGTTTTAAAAATTGAAATAAATGTGATTGTATGTACAGAAAATATGATTTTAATTGTTCATTGGAGATTCATTATTAAGATAAATTATTAATTTCTTTATTATACATATATTTTTAATAAAAATTGAGTAAAGAACACTTTTGTATATAGGTATGTATATCAAAGTTAAAATCAATGATATCAATTGAATATTTTTCAACAAAATCTAATTTATGCCGCTTTATAGGTATTTTCAATAAAAGAAACGACAAAAAATATGCACATAGAGAAAGTGAAGTTTGCGTAAAAATGAATTCGAAAATGGCACTTTCTGTACCTCATTGGCAGTAACAGCTTGTTTGGCTATTCGCCAACTTCAGTGATCCTTTTACGTTTAATCGGTTTCGTTTGATGTTCAGCTGCGAAACGTGCGGTTACTTGAAATGTTGACTTCTCTGGCAGATCGCCATCTTTTATGATGCTTTTACATGGATTGATCATGTTTCTTCGGTAAATCGCTTGCGATCAAAAAGGTCAACTTTCTAGCTTTACAGCTGAAAAATTCTTTAAAGACAACTTATTCGTATTATAATTTTATACGATGGTTGCAGAATGTAATAATATATTGAAAGTTTGTTGATACGACCGATATATAATACTTTTGCTACAGTTTTTGCTAACAATTTTGATTTTATTTTTGAGCAATATCTCATTACGCATTTTATTATACAACACTTTATATGTTTAAATTTTTAAATAATTGCTTAAAGTTGATATGACATTGCTATCATAGAGTTCAAAATTTTCCAATTTATATAAGTATAGCTATTAAAATCTATTTCTATCCTATGTAAAAAGAGAATATATCGGAAGATTAAAGCAGGGCAATTGCAATCTGCCCATCAATGTAACATATACTTCAATTTTATATCCTATAAATATTAATAGAATTATTGTCCTGCTAGTACCATAAGGTATATTTGAGAAAAATCATCATATTGACCAGAATCATTAATGCAATCGCTACACGATATGATCGTGAATGTGTCAAGTTACATCGAAATAATAAAGTATATGCACGTACATCCTGTAAGTGAAGTCTGCATTGAATCTAAAAGGAAACTGAATATATCTTTATGTATAATTCGTTATAAAATTTTAATCCGGGACACGTGCAAAAAAATTTTGCTATAAATTAAAATTGACTGGGATATTTTTTTAAATTCCAAGATAAACAATCTTCATCCATTTCCTGAGAAAGTACTTTTATACACTATTCATTTTGTATTCATGTACCTATATAATTACGACCAAGATTCTTCCGTAGACTAATTACAGACACAATATTTTCGAGTATCTAATTGAGTACTTAACTTTACATCGTTTATACTTTGCATTTGACAGTGAAACACGAGATGAGCAACAAGAAGAAATCGCAGACAGGGAACAGGCTTTCCATCGAGTTTTGAAAGTCTCAATAATACATACGTGTTAAAGGTGTCTTTACGCTCGGAGGCGCTAAGGATTCTGGTCGAGTATATCGAGCTGTAACTGCCTTTCGAAAGTATTGGGAAAACGATTGGTTGGTCCTTTAAAGGTCGATTGGGATGCAGTGCAAGTTCCGCGAAAGTGCAGTCAAGGTTCCTCGTTTCCCGCTAGCATACGAGTGTACGTATCGATGATTTCGACTCTGTTACAAAGTGCACGCGTATGTGTACCAATGACCTCGGGTCTTCAAGAAACAGGCGATCGAGAACCGTCTTAAAGTAGCTCTAGTAACGGGGAGTCCTTCACTCTATCGATAGAAAGGAAGAGCACATCATTTACCAAGACTATCGAGACCTAAAGTGCACTGGGTCGTTTCACATATCTTTGGTTATCACAAAATATCTCAAATTTATAATAAATTGAAAACAAGAAAGAAAAAGGATTATTTTTCATTGTCGAATTCATTGTCGAATTCATTCATTGAAGATTTTTGTGTATATATATATATATATATATATATATATATATATATATATATATATTACAATTCTTAATTAATAGTAAATGTGAATATATACCTGTTGGAAAGAATTCATTCATAAAACCACACATTCCGTTTTAAATCTTTTTTCTTTTTGGGACGTTTCAATCGTCGATGCTATTAAAAATGTTCATTCTTCCATGTCTTTTACTATACTTCCATTGATGGATGCCGAGTGTACAAACGTTCAACGCATTTTTATACCTCGTCGACCATAAAGCATAAGCAGACAAATGCCAGACGCGGAAGTGTCGCTAATGTAGGAAGTCATCCTTGAGATTTTGCAGGCTTTCTTCTACGTTTACGCATGATGTACATTACTATCTCAATCTCGATTTTGTCAGCACAGAGATAGGGATAATTATTATTCGACAAGGCCACTGGACAACGGCAATTTTCACGTGTACGCTGCATCAGAAGAGTGTTTACGGCACGCAGTGTCAATGGCCTTCCCGCCTTTAGCCTTCGACTTGCACGTAGAAGGTCCGTCGTTGCAACGGATATCGTACACGTCGCGATGAATGGTAATTATCTTCAAACGTCTACAAAAGACAAATCGTATAAATACATTAGACACCGTGAATGCCTTTTCGCTACTGTATGACTAGAAAAAGGTATCAACATCGTATCAATTTTAGCTTTGAACTCTAATTGAAAGTTTGGGAGATTTAAAGATCTATAGATATTAAAAATCTATAGATATTTAGAAATTATTCTCCACTTCTTATCCCAAATCGTTGCGAAAAGAAAATTTCGCGACTGCATCAATGGAGTAATAATTATATTGTAATATATACTTTGACTCTTACTTGATTTCTTCTTGCTATTCTTACGTCGTAAATCAGATCTGGAGATTCCAATATTGTTTTACGAACTCTCCCCGTTCCGCATGATGCACAATGCAATATTTGAGAGTTATGCTGGTCTACGTAGGCGCAGAGAGCTTGTTCCGACGATTGAACCTCGTAGTTATGTCACCCCATTCGTGGTGTAATAACTCGGAGGAAAAAAAAGACATTGTTCTCCCGCGTTTCGCGTGCTTGCCTCTACTCAAGGGGCGCGCACGGGTGCTCTCCTTGTCGAGAGAAAGTCTCGTAGATATACTATGTGCACACGTATACATATATCGGTCGTCACACGTGTACATCTATACGCCTACGGAGGATCACCGCAGATTCCCTTCTGGTCGCATATCCGCGAGTTGTAAGCAACAGCTGGAACATAAAATTTCGAAAAATTTGGTCAATAATTTGACGTGTAATTTATATTTTTAAATATAAACTCATTATATCATAAAATAATCATTATTATAAGAAATTAAATATTTGCAAACGATTCTAATACAAACTAATAGCAACGTTGTATGCGAAGTGATCGTTCCAACCTTGATTCAAAGTATGTACAATATTGTCATGGCTAAGATTGTATTTATATAGTCTATATTTTATTTGATATTACTTGTTTTGAATTTTTATATAATTGTCTTCATAAGTATTATAAAAAAATCGTCATATATTTATAATTTGAAATAAAATCAAGAAGACTTAGAAAAAATAAAATTTATGTACTTGCTTCTCAAAATTATTCTTGTTTAAAATTGCACTGTACATATCTGATAAAATCTTTCTTTCCACCTCTTTTTAAAATATAACTATTCTAAAATATCTCTTGAAGAGAATAAACAACTGTATCAATGTACGATTGTTCAATATTTTCTGGCTCGAGGATTATAATAGTCTGGTCTGGTCCTGACGGATCGACATTCTTCTTGCGAAATGAGACGCAGAGACCTTTAACGCCGTAGATGCCTTCTGATTCTCGGCGCGACGCTCCAAGCTGGGATAATTTATACGGCTGTCGGCTGGCGGTTTCACTGAGCCTTGACACCTACGACAACGATCGACATACGCCATCTTTTTCAATTATTGTCAGAAAAATTTGCTAGTCTTGTATAAAATTTTTCGCTAACGAGATTAATACGAATCAAATGTCGACATTTGAAAGAAAAGACGAGAATATATATTACAATGACAAATAAATTTTCATAAAAAAAAAAAAAAAAAATTAAAAGTCTTATTTGTCTAACACTTGTCAATCCCTTTTTTTAAATAAGACATAATATAATAACATAATAATAGAATAAACAGGATAAGGGAGGACTTTTTTAATAAATAAAACATTCTTAGCTCATAAATTTTCCACGTCGTTTTCAGTTCTCGATTAAAGATAAGGCAAGGTAGTAATAATGAAGATAAGTTTGAGACGAGAGAAGTCAGACAGATTAGATCGAAAACTAAGTAACTATAAACCAGAGGGGCGAATGTACAGCCAGGATCTTCGATGACCTCCTGCTATATAGACGGAAACTTGTGCCAAGCTGAATCAAGTTGAGTTCGACTACGTGGTGTCCACTTTTCATAAGTTGGTGGGGTGTTCTCCAGGAGGACGTGGTGGGTGGCAGTATAAGTAGAGGCCTGCATTCGCCACCGTTCTCATACCCTCACCACGTCCTTCGGCTACCTCTTACTTTTACTTATAGTACCCCTTTTTTCATTTTTTTTTCTTTCTCTCTCTCTCTTTCTCTCTCTATCTCTCTCTCTTGCCCTCTCTGTCTCTCTCCTCTGTCTGTATACCTTTCCCATATACACGTGCACTCTCACTCGATCTTTCCTTCTCTCCGTCTGTCTTGGTGCGTTCGCCCCGCCGTTCGCTAGCTCGCTCGTTCGTTCATTTGTTTCGCGCCTCGTCGACCAAGTCGCGTCACGAAACTGTACATAGGTCACGTCCCGGAGAAACGGCTCACCCAGTGAACAGTTGTACGGATCAATCTCTTTGCGTCCGACTGGAGGCCCAGTGTTGATCGCGATCGGTCGAAAGGAAGACAGAGATGATCGCGAGTGACCGGTGACGATTTCAAATTGTCGAGTAGTATTCGCAGAGAAAGTATATATCGATATTGTTAAGGGAGTGCCGATATATAAACCGGATAGTACTTACTCGTATACGTCGAGGACAATTTTGTTCTTGACACCAGCTGTTTCACGGAAGCAGAGGCGAGTAGAACGAGGGAGAAAGAACAGTGTCTAGTGCAGACATGTGGCTTAGAGGCGTGCTTTTGTGAGTACTCCTGTCAATGACGTTAATCCTTTATTTCCTTCATTTATCTGGGACGTGGCAGCAATCTCATCAATAGACCTGTGAAAAATTTAAACGTTTTTAAAATGAACAAATATTAAATTGCAATTTAATATTTTAATCGGTATTTTAAACCGTTTTACAAAAGAGATTATTTCAAAAATTTCCAGAGACTATAATATGATATATATTAGAAATATGCTGTATATTAGAAATATCTCATATACGTGTATTAAATTTTTTTAGATAAAAATATATGCCTGCATAAGAAAAAAAGAAAAGATTATTTAGATTCGCGATTTGTTTGTCCGTCTATAAATTTCAATTTCAAATAAAGTTTCTTTTCACATTCACTGAAAACAGTAATTGAGTTTTAGTCAACATTTCATGCGTATCTTTGATGCAATCGCTATACAGTGCAAACACGCTATGCGCTGCGCTTCTAAATCAATTTCTAATTATTTCTATACAAATATCATCAAATATTTAATTTTCTACAATTTTTTAAAATCAATTTATGTTTCTTTACATTTATAATTCCATAGTATGTACAGTTAACAGAAAAAAAATTCACTCTGCTACTTCCTTTGCTTCGAAAATGAACAATGAGATAAAACTGACATGTGCCTAATGACTGACAAGTCTAATCGCTATTTCATCTCGATTTTTGACTTTTAATGATTATTATCGAGAATGTAACATACATGCTGATACATCGAGGAAATTATACCGCAACAGTTTTAAAATTTACATACATGTCAGTTTTTGTTATAGCTTGTACTCGAATACTGAATAAAAAGATCTTGTTCAAAACTCTTACTTTGAATTATGATTAATGATTATAAATGAGTATCGATCTGAAAGAAAGCGGCTTTTCATGGGCAAAAGATATTACGCTTCTAAGTTACGAGAGTTATCGTAGCGAAAGGTGTGTGCAATCAACGATCTCACTCTCATGTTAGATATGCCGATTATACAAAGTTTCATTCAGAATATTGTGTACGTATCATTTATTTGAGAGAAACTTTTAACCGCATATAGAGTGCTCTCAATTTTAAACTATCAATCAAAAATAGAAATTAAATTAACTAGATCATAGCCTTATGATAATATCATTTTATTATATATAAGTCAAAAGGCTTTTAAATATAAAAAGTATAATAATTATATTTATAAGTATATTGAAAATATTATATATAAAATATATGTAAAAAATATATAAATAAAAGATAAAGAAATAATTAAATTTTTAAAATATTTATAAAAATATATCCATATAAAAAATATCTATCTTCGTCCAAAATAAAAATAATATATAGATTTATTGTTAGTATTAGTGTGTGCAATCAGATTAATTTTTTAAAATAAAATATACTATAGATAATAATTACATAAATTTAATCGAGACATTCTATTGACTTTTGAGATTTATAGATTTCGAAAATTTATCTGATATTTTTTGAAACAAGACTTATCATAAAATAAAATATGCGAGTAATAGACGATCATCTACACTTTAGATTCATATTACTTTCAAATATGAGCGTTACAAATAGAATATATATAGAAATTACAACACTTTTTCTTATTAGTGGCACATTAGTTGCATTCTAATTTCATTTGTAATAATCTGGCATTGTTTAACACAGAAGAAAACTATATTTATTTAATTATAACAGTGAGCGTGAGGAAAAGTCTTCCTGATAATTATATGTATATTTCTCTAACAAATTATATTTTAAATAATCACTATTGCATGTTTTTATACAATATGTATATGCTTGTATGTAATAATTGTATGTATATAATTCGAATCATCACGCAAAACTTATTATACACGCAGTAGAAAGTTTAGGTCAACAGATCATTGCGCCTTAAAGTACTTTATTACTCGCATTGCTATTTTATGATACTGATCCGCAGTGTTGACTACAAATGTATCAATATTTTCCAAGAAAAAATTGATAAATACTGATATGTATTATTAAAATCTCAAATAAAATTATCGTATAAAATTATTTTAAATTAGAATATTCAATTAGTTCAGTTTCTAATTGATCTTTATGAAAAGATTCGAACAAAATGCTATTCTCTACACTAAATATAAATCTGCTGAAGATCATGAAAAAGAGAATGCAAAAGTTTAGTAATTTAGTATTTCTTTTTGTTTTCTCTAATTTTATTTAATATTATAAATTAGGAAAAATATATTTCTTTTGTATGCAACATTTAAATTATATTTAAAGATTTGATGACAAATTTATAGCATTATTATATGTGTGATATCTTTTCATAAAGATCAATTAAAAATTGAACTATAATTGAATATTCTAATTTAGTTTTTAGAAATAATTTTATACGATAATTTTATTTGAGATTCATGTATTTACCAGTTAGTTTTTCTTGGAAAACATTCGTAGGTGGCACAAAAAAATAATATTTATTAGCTAGTAATAGATTTTTTGCGGTAATATTATGACTTATATAATGCCAGTGTCTCGTGCCACTGGAGATACCTACGTATGCAGTATGTTTATGCAGATACGCTTGTAAGCAAGACCGCTTTCTCCATATGGTTTCACGATAAATTCCAATATGAAGTATCCCTCCATCTTCAGTGTAAGATTGAGTTATGGAACATCTTGTTATAACCCTTGCTCCTTTTATTGTCAAACTAGACATTTTCGTATATTTTACATCTCGCAAAAAAAGAAAATTGGCAATCTGAAAATAATTTAAAACTTGCATAAACGTGGAGTATAATCAAAATTTATAATTATTTTTGGATTAAAAAAATTTAGAAAAATTAAAACAATCTTTTTCAAACATTTTTCTTTATTATCTTAAACTTGGATTATCTCAATTTTTTTTATTGAGTAAGCTGCATTTAAAAAAATTTATAAAAAAAATTAAAGATTAAATACCGAATAATCAAAAACAATTTATAGGCAATGTAAGATTGCAAAATTTTATCCGGTAATTTGTTTCAAAATTTGCATAATGAAATAGAAAGTTAAAATTTCGATTGCTGTAAAAAAAATTGAAACCGGAAAAATTGTATATTCTTCAAGCAACGAAAAAAAGCTATGAATATGTATAGAAATGCTAGGCAATACATCCAATCCTATATTGATCTGATCGTGAGTATACTACGAATGTGAATCTTATAATTCGTTTTACTTTATTTGCAAATGTATTCTGTTGCAAATTATTCCTGTATACCGGAAAATCGTTCAAATGGAACAATGAACTCATTCAGCAGCAGTTTTCTGTCGTATCCTTATTTATCTGCTCCATAAGTGTAACAAATTAATAACATAATAATAAACTCGTGTGATTAACATTAATGCGAAGAAAGGTTTTCTTTTGGTTTCATCAATCGCAAAGCTTTTATGTTTCAAAAAATATAATAGTAAGATTAAAGTTATGATGAAGAGGAGCAAAATCGAACAATAAACAGCATGAAAAATCTATTAATGGAATGAGATTCTTGTTTTTTCTCGAAAGATATTTTTACAAACTGCGTGATTTGCATTTCTTTAACATAAAAATGATATTACAAGGTAAATTATTATTATATAACTGACGCTATATGTAAAAAAGTGCTATAATATTAAAATCATCTTAACAGTTTTACATTGAAAATATACGATAATTATGTCGGAGAAATCGCTTTTTTAAAATGTCAATTTCATAATCAACCTTGCATGACCATATATTTCGTCAAAGAAAAAATCTTGGACATTTGTGTTAATTTCAAAAGCTGCTCTCCTTCATTCGTGGAGGAAATTGATCGTTTCTGCGAATACAAAATACCATGAAATCAAAAGATTCTCATTCTCTCAATACTCTTTCTTCGACTTTGCACAAAATATTTGATATTTTTCTAAGAAAGTTATAAGTTTATTTTATTTATGCAAAAAACTTTGAGAAAATATTTCTAAAATAGCGAGATTTTATCGATTTACATATATAATAAGAATAAATAAATGTTAAAAATTCAATACCTCTGGGACGTTTTATGTTCCATAATCAATTTCATGAATTTTGATAGAAAAAAAACGAGATCGTACATATTGATATGCAGAGGCATTGACATTTAATATTTAATCATTTTTCTAATATAAATTAACAATAAAAAATGTTCTATAAAAAGATATCAAGTTAATTTTTTTTATTCTTATAAAATTTTTTTATCTTAACAAAGTAAATGTTTTATAAAATATAAGCTACTTTTTCGTTTTTGCACAAAGTTATAGAATTCTATCTTAGTAATAAGTAAGTTTCGCGTTAACATAATGAAATCTAATTCTCGTATAATCGAGTGTGAAAGATCGTATAATCAAGAGAAGCAAGTGGGATGCAGCTCGTGAATGCGATGATTAGATGTGAACTTTCACCATGTCAAGCCTTGCATTAGCTATATTACCACGTCAGTTACATTTCGCTTCCTTGCACCTCATATGTGTTTTATCACTTTCGCTAATAATGCATCATACCGTATAATATGATGATTCTCTTTCTCTTTTTCTTTGCGTTGATCATACATTCATACACAGATTTATAGATAATGTAAATATTAATAATAGCAGAACGTTCGAATTTTCTTTATATTAAATCAATTAATTTCGATTCAATTTTAGTTCAATTCCAATAAGTATATATAAAAAATTGCATTTGTATCATAATGTTATTTAAGTTTAAAAAAGGTTTTTGCTGCTATTTATAAAATCTATAATTAAATGTTTTCCAACATTTAAAAATAATCAGTATAGATTTCTATTGTGACATATCTTATTTATATTGAAACTTACAGAATATATGGCGTCGTTGCGTGCACGTTAGCTGACAGTCCTTCGGATGTCGTGCAGATATCCGGTGACAATTTGAATCGAGTAAAACATGTTGCGGTAACAACGTATCAGCCTCCCCGATCCGTTAAAATTGAAGGTACCTATTGTGCAAACATTTTTTTAAAAGAAAATTTAAGTATATTAAGTGTATTAATTCACAAGTATTTTCATGCAAAACAAATTTAACACATTGAATTTAATAAAAAAATTCCATTCATTTTTATAAATTTTCTAAATATATAATATTTAAGCAAGAATTTTTAAATTTTATAAAATGTTTATGTTCAATTTTGAAAAAACAAAATTTCAGAATTTGTAACATCACACAAATTGCCGGGAAATATAGCAAGACCATCGGATGATGATGATGATGAATACTTTGACGAGAAAAAAGTCGCATTTAAAGACAATAAGTATATTAAGAAAGTCATTCCAAAATTTGAGAACAATGAAAAAAAAGTTACACTCGAACCTGTCCGACGTTTAGACTCGACTGTGGATGATGATTCTGATATCACCGCTAGAAGGCAAGCACGAGTGGAGCTCGAAAATTTTAGCGACGCAGGAAAGGTTTTGCAGGACGAAAAAATAAAAAAGTTGACTCTAAAAGACCATCGTCAAGCAAGCAGGACGAAGTTATTCCAGGAGTTTACGTCAGGTAAAACATTTTCGTAGCTCGCCGGATTGCAAATATTTTCATTAATGAAACACGCGTTAACATGCGATGTATAAATTTCTGATAATTCCCATAATAAGTATCTCGAATAATTAATTGACATTGATACTTGTTTCTTTTAATTAATAATAACGCCGTATTTACGCATTTTTAGCGCAGAATATCCAACGACTATGCTACCCGTTTTGACAACTCCGCGTGAACTACATGATAAAGACAGTCCTTTCGACTTTGTTCCTGTAAATATTATTCGCGAAGACAGCAAAGATGGTTACGCGCGTTTTTCGGAAGCAAATTTCGGAGATTTGAGTGACGTCAGTCTAGTACCGGCTGGTACAAATTCTCGTATTCAGGTATATTACACTATCTATTTAGTAAACTAAAATAATGATAATTGTCTTTATGAAACATATATATAGCTCTCAACAAACATTTCTAATGAATATAATTTGTATGTATTAAAAATATTTTTCTTTTGCGCGACTATTTTCAAAATTTCAATTAAATTAAATATTTAATTAAACTTGTTTTTTCTACATTTAACAGGTGAAGAAAGGACCGAATGGCAAAGATTATGAATACGAATATGTATATTACTATTACGACGAGGAAGATGAAAATAAAGCAGGTACGGCAAGTTCGGCTGTGACGAATTCTTACGACACTCTTTCTAGAACAACCTCCGCGCCTAGGAGAGGAGGCATTGTCAGCAACAGGAGTAAATACAATACCGTAGAGAGATCGAGTACCGTGGAGCCCAGCAACAACGAGGTCATACCAAACAGAAATGGCAACAGAGGTAGACAATTGGTTGAGAGCGAAGACGTTGTCTCCGAGGAAAGGCTGCCTGCAAACACACGTTTTCCACCAAGGTATATATTACAATTAATACACTTAAACATTAACATATAACTATCTCATTATCAATTTTACATCATATACAATTTTTGCAATTTTTGAATTTTTATCACGCAATAAAAAATGTTATAACAGATAGCAGGAAAAAATGAATATTTCGTAATGTAACATATTTATCAATGTTTTTCTATCTCTTTCATTTTTGAGAAATATATTTATAAAATATATTTATGAAAAAAAGAAGTCTATATTTTAATAAAATATATAAATACCTAATTTCTATGTGTCAATAGGTCGCGATCTAACCATAACACAGGCACAACAGAATCCTCGCGAGCCCGTAATAATCGACCGCGACCAGGTCTGGATCTGGTTGATTCCAGCAGCTTCCGAACTCATCAGGAGGGTCCTGAATTTCCACAAACTTTGCCAAAGGGGCCCGTTAGATTCTTGGGCGTTACCCCTAATGAGGATAACGATGAGAAACTATTAATTAGAAATCGTGGTAGACCACACAGGATTCAAGAGCCCGCTCCTGTCGAAGAAACGATTGACGATACACCGGCACCTGCTATTAAAAGACGTCCGAGCAACACTGCAGCAATATCTGAAGTATAATTAAACAAATTAAAATAAACTTTCGTCCGTTTAATTGCGGAACTGCTTTCTAAAACTTTAATCAATCTACGATTTCTCTTCAGCAATTAAATATTTTAATAACAAATTTATTATTTTAATAACAAAAATCAAAATATTTAAGCAATCAGATACAATGCATTTTGCAAAAGCAATAAAAAAATTATTAAATAATATTTTATCATCAAAAACTTTTTTATATCAATATATCTATAATATAAAAAATTGAAGTAACGTAATTTTATATATAAATATTTCACTATACAATCATAAATTCATTATATAATTAATATTACCTTCTTTTCAAGTTATAAAGATGAATAAATTTTTAGACCGAAGTTGAACTGACCAGAGGTCAACCGCCACGTCCCAACGAGGAAGACGACAAAGAGAGTGTCGCCCTGGAGAGATCCGACAACAAACACTCTGTAGAAGACAAAACGTCGAGCGAAACGAACTATGCCGGTACTGTCAGTGACACTACGGATAATCCAACGACGGAATATTCGTCGATCATGGACAAGGTTGCTTTGGATCTTTACGCCTTCCTGCAACAGGGACAAAACAACTTGATAGACGCGTCTAATGAGACTGGCGAAACGCAAGACAACACGACGACATCCGACGACGAGATCACAACCGATTTAGCGACCACGACGGAACTTACTGTTACTACAATCGATTCTATTAATACCCCAACGACAACAACTACGACAACGACGACGGAACCGACAACCACAACGACGACGACGACCACAGAAGCATCGACTACTACTACTCAAATTCCCGCAGGAAGAGGGAAGTTCCGACGACCTGGAATCGGTGGCCCGGTTGCCTCGAGAAATCGGTACGTGCGCGTTCTGTATTCACTCTAATAAATTTAATTTTTCTTTCTAGATGGTGCGATAAAACTTTTGCATTGAATAATAAGTAGGATCTATCTGTATTTAAAAGTATCTATTTTCTTCTTAATTATTTATACCACGCAACATTTAGAAATAAATCATTATAATTCACATAATTATAACATGAAAAAATATAAACATATAAAGTTAATTATTATTCTTATTATTAAATTTCTAACTATTTATAACTTGTGCAAGTATAATTTACTTACAAGTATCCAAGTCTGTATTCGTCCTTTCACATGTCGTTGCTCTGTCGTCAGCTTCAAATCCAACGGTGGCATTAGCACGAGCACCGAAGCTACCGCATCAGAACCGACCCAGAAAGTCAGAGGACGTTTCGGAGGTGGTAGTTCTAATGGTAATGGATTCAAGCGACCTCGACCAGGCTCCAAACCAATCGAAGAGGACACCATACAGAAGGAGAGCTCCAGCTCAGTGAACGCGGAGAAACCAGTATCCGGTCGCGGCAGGTTCCGTGCACCTTCCGGTGGCAAAACCGCTATATCATCGACGACATCAGCACCGTCGACGAACAGCGGCTCTTCAGCGACGTCCAACGGTGCCGGTGCGGCTCGACCAACCTTCAGCAAGTTGAACATCAATCGAAGACGCGGACGACCGACTACGAGCTCGCCAGGAGACGAGGAGTCCCAAGAGTCGCCGCATCCCGACGTCAGTGCTCAGGTCGTTGGCCAAACTGCGTCGGAAGTTACGATAGGGACCCCGAAGAGTGTTGTGCGCACGCGACTTCCTGGTGCGCCTGTGATCAGACCTTCGGTCATCAAGCCAGTTGGCAGAGTCAATTTAAGACAGAAACCGGGACAGGCGACTTCGACGACGTTTGCGCCGGAAGTTGCAGAAGCTGCAGTCGATGAACCAGCCGGAGAGGGAACCGAGGAGGAGACACACGAGGTACCTAAAATTCATTATTTATGTTAGTACATATCAATTATTTTTCTCTAAAATATTATTTCTTCATATATGTATTAATATATTTTGAAATTACCTTCTCTGTCCAATCGTACGATAAATTTCATATATTTCTTCTACAAACGATGCATCTCAAAACACAGTTTAAAAAAAAATGTCTAATAAATAGTAAAATATATTTTGTCATCTATAAGTAAAGAACAATGCGGAAATCTATAAGTGTGTAATGTTTTTCATTGTCGTTATATTCATAATTATATTTCATAATTATAATTCTATTTCTAACTAATAGTAAGGAAGAAGCCAAGAGATTTTATTTTATTATTTTTATTATCTCGAATGTAACTCATTTCTTGGTCAGATTAAAACATACTACGATACTACGTAACAAATACGGAACAAGTATATATAATTATGCAAATATCTATAAATGATTCCGCTCGTGCCAAAGTAAGGTCAAATCTTTCTACCTCCTGCATGTGTATATTACATGTATGTATCTATATGTATACATGGAAAAGTCGTATCAAGCCAGTTGCATACACTACGAAATTAGGTACGAGGACACCGTGATGTCATTCTCGACAAAGTTCTCTCTCGGAATTTACTTTCACTGGATGGCCTTTCAAAATGTCATCAGCCAGCAGAAGACGGTGCACACGATCGCTTTTCACCTTTCGACTTTACGGTCTCGCGAGGTCGTCGCAAATAATAAGCATCATTGCAAGTACTAATAAGCGCGCAAGAAAAAACTAGATAGAAAATAAAAGTAAGAAAGAGAAAAGAAGAAGAAAATAGGAAAGAGATGAAGAAAAGAAAATTTATACTTATGTGTATGCATCAAAGTGTTACTTTTTATATGATTTTTAAACACAACTCACGTTTACTCTCTATCCACGGCATTCAAATAATATTTTTTTCCTTTTTCAGGCACCAGCGGAAACCAGTCTGTCACCAGCTCGCTCGACCACACCGAATCCCCTGAACAAATTGCGGACCCGTAATCGGCTACAAGTGCATCCGAAAACAACGACAAAGTCGCCGTTGCCGCCAGCGATCAGAAGATCGCCATTGCTACCGCGACGCAAAGTAACCGAGGCAACGCCGGCAACTCAGACGAGCCAGGAGGATGCATCCCTCGAAGAAGAAGTCACTTCCTTCGGTGAGACCGAGCCGACCTCCGAGGCGACGTCCGTCGAGGCTAGCACGACGGCTAGCACGAAACAGGACGGTTTAAACGGTCTCTTGGCACCTCGACGCAGGATACCGGTGCGACGTCCGGGTCAGATCTAGACCTAAGTCGCATGAAAATAAAAAGCAATTGCGTGGACCACGCAAAATGTATTCGTCCGCGAGGATTTGGAAACGTTTCCCATGACCTATCAAGAAGAATTTAGATTAGATATGAAGACATACCGAATATCATACTCTCGGAGAGACAGATTCAATTTTTTATAACATTATTATTTCCGACATATTTTCTCTAATCAATAAAATGGACATCCTGCGCGTTAAAACAAAAAAAGCAGATGTATATAGCTTTTATAATCGCTTACACAACAGTGTCTTTTAAAGAATTAAATTTATATATAATTTTTTATCGCGTTTGAATAAATACAATGTCTATCACGATATAATTAAGAATACGTGATGATATGATAGCATATAGCAATGATGATATATTGCGTGTTAATAGTGATCTGAAATATGAAGATATTAGATAGATATCGTCAAAATATCATTAAAATATTCTCCAAACATTTTTATAAATTTTCTATTCAAATATTTAAAAATGATATAATCTAAATTAAATTACACTAATAATGATATAATGTAAATTTAATTACTACTATAATAACAACATTATATGATTTTTTAGCACAATATATCACCTTTGTGCGAATGACAATCATATTATAATTCAAGATAACAACGAGACAAATGAATGTTTCCAAGTCTTTTGATATACATAATGAGATAATTGTAACGATATTGTATATTTAATTTGGCGAGTTTTATTTAATGATTATTAGTGTGCATTTATAAAGTTATCAAAGTACTATTTTTAACGTAATATATGCATATATATAATATGCATATGAGTAATATCCTTTCGAGGATGTATTTTTAAGACTATTACTGCGTGTGTAATGTTCCAAGATACACTGTAAATATTGCAATTAAACATATGTAAAGTTAATTGTGTTATATTTCTTTTTCGTTTTACTTATTGGAAAATATATTATTTGCAATATAATATTTTACATATAAAATTGATATACATATATCCTGACTATTAAAAAAATCAGTAGAATAAAAGTGTTATCTAGTAAATAAAAACTTATTTCAAAATCTTTGTTATTATATGAATCAGGAGGCATTAAAGTAATATTAATTTTTCTTAATTTAAATAAATATATATTAATAAATGTCAAATTTTATTCTTTATAATTTAGTGATTAATAGCAATATTTATTTTATGATAAAATTATATTATTTCTATTTAAACAAAATATATAAAAGACGAATATATAGAAAATTATGAGAAAAAATAAAGGTAAAAATGAGATAAATTGTAGATATAAATTTTAATATTTTTATAGCTATACTAAATTTATTAAAAACTACTAAATATTACGATTGTGTTTGATGCAAAAGCATTTTCGATTACTTACATTTCAAGACTGTTGTAATATATTAAATACTGAATATGATGTTTTCAGAATCTAAAAAACAAAAATATAAATTAAGATTCTCTAGATATTTTTTTAATAAAATAAATTATTAAAATTTATTTGATAACCGAGCTTTAATACATATTAGATCACAAACTATAATTTTATTAATAAAAATAGAAAATATTCCTACTAATATCTTAAGCATATCTTAAAATGCCTTAAATAAATTTTTATTTGCTTAATTCTTTTGAGAAACTTATTTGACTATAATTTTTCAACAATAGTACTAACGTTACTATAAGATTCGAGAGAGAAAGTTATCAAGAAGCTGCTTGTAAATTTTATAGGAATTGTGCTACGTCTCATTATCATTAAAAGATCTTTCTTCTCGTTGAGCGATAATATTGGCCAATTCATCTGATATATTGCATTTCCTATGCTATTACTCTATTAAAATTACAAAGATAATAGTTATTTTATTAAAAAGTAATATTAATTTATATATATATATATATATACATTTTTAATTATATTATTTCATATACCGATTTTGATATATAATACAAAAAAGATTACATACATCTCGGAAACATTCATCATAGATGTAACAATTAAAAATATTATTTGTTAACAGATACCGAAGAAATATATATAGACAAATGACTTTTTACCTTAAGTATTACTTCGTTTCCAGACCAGCAGTAAACGAAGATTTGTACAAACATACAAATAGTGTATATTGCCAAAGTCGCACCTTCGGAGCCCGTAATATGTGTTGACATAAAATACAGACATGTGCATAATACCAATATACTGCCACAAAATTGACAGAAAAGTACTTGACTGAATATTCTATTCATCGTTTTGGCGTACCTGTAATTATTAGTTATACACACTCATATTAGTTTTACACACATAACGTGATTAAATTGTTGTAATGATAATGAATTCATTATCAACATAATTATGAGATTTCATTATTTATATATATAAAAATTTACACAAAAAAAATAAAAAAATTTAACATCACAATTTATAAAAAAAATAATAATAAAATAATATATTAAAATTATATTAAAACATAAAAGATTAGCACTACAGATGCCTTTTTAATCAATAAAATAAATAAAACCAAATAAATATAATGTTATAAATGACAAAATAATACAAATTTACAATTATTTATAATTTTGATTTTATAAAACCAATTGTACAAATGATATATCGTTTAAACATATTACAGTATCAATTATTAAATTAAAATAATATCTATGACGTATAATAAAAGAAATGTGTATTAACTAACTTGTAAATAATGAGATGATGATGTATGTATCTCGATATTGGTGTTCCTTCTTTTTCCGATGAAATACATGAAAAATCCTTTCGACTTCGAGCTGTTTTATTAATCGCTAATTGAAGACGACTTTCAAAAATGTCGAATTGAGCGCACGTTTGCAAAAAAAGACCGAAAATCAGAGTTTCCGTGCCAACATTAATAATAGTGGCAAAAATCAATGTTATAATCTGTTGAATTGATGTAATCCAGAACATTAAAGACTTATTATAATCATATGGCAGCCAAACTTTGAATGGTAAATGACCCTGCATAACGTTAATCACCGCTCCTATCGTCCAACTTGTAATGGAACCTGTCGCCAAAAGTGAGTACTTTATCGAGCAAGACCTGCGAATCAAAAATGATAAGTATATTTTGTAAAAATCTCCTTTTTCGTGTTTTTCTGTTGTCAATCTTTTGTCATAATCACAAAGTGTCACATAAATAATTCTGCATTCTCACCTGATAAACTTATCAAATTTAATTTGTATTGCCACTTCGGCTTCGTTTTGGGGTTTACACGGATCCTTCAGCAACATTTGAACTAAATCGATGATCGCATTTCGACGTAATACGGCGATAGTAGCTTTACAACAAACACTGATTATAGTCATAAACATTAGAGAATTGGTGGCAAAGTCATCAATATTATCAACGATAAGAACGATATCCATGAATTGAGATAACACCAAAATGTACATATGTATTATTATAAGAATAGTAAACACATTATACAACAATTTAGCACAGCTCGATGACCATTTGACAGGTCGCCATACACCACCCAAGGTGTATAGTAAAAAATTTAGAGACAGTATCTGCATTCTTTTTGTATTTTTACAAATAACTTATTAAAACAATTACACGAAAGTATATAGTTAATCCAAAAAAATTGACACTGTCCCAGGTATCTTAAATACATTAATTAAAAAATTTATAAATTAAAGATGTGATAATTTTAAGCAAAGTCATATAAGTTTTAATACAGAATTCACTGCAAAATTACAAGCAAATTTAATTCATTGCAAAATTAATTACTCGAAAATAATTTTCACAAACGACATTTGTATTTTGCATCTAATTTTAAATGTAATTTTTTTATTATTGATAAATTTAATCTATCTAACATAAAGATAGAGCATATAATTTTGTTATAAGTTAAGAATCTTAATTTTATAATTTAACGTTATATCAGAAATGAAAAAAAAAAACAAGAATTTAGAAATATTCGCATATTTTATCGGGATATCACACACTTTATATTATTATCTAATAATGGAATAAATTTATATTATAATATATATGAATATTACTTGTTTAAATATCGTGAAAATAACTAAATTGCAAATGTCAAGTAAGTCATCGAGTAAACTACAATAAGCTATATATGTAAAGCTTCGATTGTTTCAACTTTGTAATTCCTCTACTATGTTATAATTACACAGTTCGATTCTTCAACTTTATAATCCTATAATTACGCGGTTATTAATAATTCGTCACAGACGAAGAAAAAACGAAGAGAGAGAATTTAAAGACAAAGAAAGAAAGAGAAAAAGAGGGTTGTTCTCGTTGTAATTTTCTTTCGATACGTAATAATTTTCTAAATATTGTATAATTGTAAGAACGATAAGTCGCCGTATTTTTAATGAGGGATACCGCGTCCCCTTTACATTCAACCACATTGTCATATTCTCATCGAATAAAATATTAATACACATGCTCATGTCGCATCGAGACAACTGAATGCAACATTGTATTTTTTCCCTCAGTCAGAAAATTCCTTGCATAAAAAATACGAGAGTATCGAAGTCAAAGGATTATAATAACCGAGAGAGTAGTGATTATCTTTTTATAAAGTTAATGATGGAGAATATGAGTTATGTGTGCATGTGCTTATCGCACATATGTCTTATTATTATACGAGATATTTTATTATATACACACACACACACACACACACACACACACACATATATATATATTTTTTTTTTTGAGTTTCGTTCCAAAACATCCTCTTCGAGGAAAATTTTACTTAAAAAACTATATATAGTACACGTTATACGTACATTATAAATTATCAGTAAAATATTCTTCGAAAAGGACGTTTCGAAACGTAATCTTGGAAGAAAAATTTATCTCCCCCCCCTCCTTCCCAGGGTCCGCCATTGCAGTAATCGCAGCATCATATGTATACCTTTGTTTAACCAAATACATATACATATCTGTAGTTAACAAGATAGTTAACATAAAATATACGAACGAATATCGTCATTGTCAAGAAGTCCAGGTCGCTCGACATGTCAAAGATTCTTTTAGCTTCGATGTCGTTCAAATAACGCTTCGAAACTTTTAACCGATCGTGCTCCTGATCCTGATCGATGAAACGATTCGAAATTGAACGACAATGTGCACTCGAAATGTAGATGCGCCAACTCATTGAAATCAGCGCTGCTTACGGAACGACGACGAAGCTGCTTGTCAAACGATGATAACCATCGAATACACGAATAAATGATAAGGATGTGATTCATGCCAAGTAGTGCATAATCATTCCGCGGCGCTGCCTGTCAAAGTGTCGAGCATCGAGGTTGACATGCATACATAGAGAAAGCGCTCGGTCAGCGAAGATGTTAAAACGCGGAGAGACACATGTGCAATTTTAACGGTTCAATGTCTAAATTATCAGTGAATAATCGCGCGCGGGAGATCAATATGTAAGTGTGGGCACGATCGCGCTTAACGCAGCGACCAGCAAAGAAACGCTTGGCTTGCAACATTCGTCGTGGCACTCGTTGGATTCGGAGCTCGACGGCGATTCCGAAGGTATAACGCAGCAAAGGCAGGTTGCGCTTTGTTTATGGAGATCAGCTGTGTTTCCAAACATCGCGTCGCTCTTCCTGCTTCGCGCGCTCCGCAGGCGAGCGACATTGCTATTTTCGTCGGATAAAGGTCAACCGAAATGCAGGGAACAAAGCGACGAGCAGAGCACGTATGACGTCTTATGAATTCTCGCCTCGTTCCTCGATGTGCGTCCAGAGAATCCGACGAGATCTCTGAAATGTAAAGTAAAAACGAGGAGAACGAGGCCTCGAATGTACCTTCTTTAACCAACAATTTAGCATTCGCACTGCTCTTTCTGTATTTTCTTAGGAGGTTGCCTAGTCTACGTGCTTTCTTTCACATCGCGTTATATCATGAACTTCTAGCTTTATTGTTTAAAAGTGGAGGAATTTTTTATATATACAATTTTGGAAATACTCCAATTTTTCGACTACTTTACAAGTGTTATTAAATGGACTCTATTGACACGTGTGATTTTTGGCTATTGTATTTGGGAAAAGAAAGTAAGCATGGGAGACAAGTGTATTGTACATTGCTGTAACACTAAGAAAATACTTCAAGGTGAAATGTACAGTTTGATGAATAATCGATTGAGCAATCTACAAATTTAATCCTTTGATAAGATGTATAATGAAAGAAAGAGAACAATATCTATTCAAAAGGCATGCATTCAGTACATGCTAAACTTGCAACAATGCATTGTACTTTTAGTTTTGTAATAATAGCATATATATATATATATCATTCAAAAAGATATAAATCATTTTCCATCAAAAAAATCAGTTCATTGTTGCGTTGGAATTTTGCTTTTGAATATCAATGCGCAGTTTTCTCAAAAAAAGATTTTTAAATTCTAAGAATCTTTTGTGTAGAAATATACAATAATTTTCTTAATATCAAAAGAAACAATTATATGTATTTATTACCTAATTATATTTATGAGGTATCTTTAATATTTATTAAAATATTAAAGATATTGCATTACAATATTTTTAAAACTCTTTACAAAAATTCAAATTTTGATTATTCCAATTATTAATACATTATTTTGATGCTTTGAAAATGTATTGCAACTAAGAAATGTTTAGTATGATTTAATTGCTTCCAGATGTTTGCAGAGCAATCATCAACTGGTAGTTAAATAAGCTTAATGACATGAAAGAATGAAACGAGAAACTGTCATTACCTGTATAGAGCCAAACCGACGAGGCCAAACAGTAAGATCTTATTAATTAGAAAAAACTTTATACTATTCCAATATAGTGTTTGCGTCTCTTTATAATAGTTGTCTTGTTAATAATTATTTTAATTAACGTGTAAAAGTTTGTAAGGTTTCAAAATAACTTACATTTGTAGATGACGACGGTATTGGATGGTAGCTACCAACGTATACACCCTTACGAGGGTCAGGAGGAAGATGCAGACGATGAAGATGAACGTGAGGAGACGCCTCAAGAATCAGGCGTTATAATCCATGTAGTACCAGAGGGGAACAAAGCGCGATGGAATCACATTGAAGATCTGGACTCGTTCTTCACGCGAATGTATCATTATCATCAACAGCATGGCTTCCTTTGTATGATGCTGCAAGAAGTTTTGGAGTTATTTCAATTCGCTTTCGTAGTCGGCCTTGTTACCTACCTCTTCCACTGCATCGATTACAGTAAAATATATAAGTATGTGTAGTTGTAGAACTTTTTAAATTCTTGCAAGTGATATAATAAATGTATAATCGTCTTGTTGTATTTTCAGTGGTGGAGATGCTAATGATACCAGTCATCACAAAAGTGACGCCATAATATGCTTAGGAGATTGCGTAAAGTCAATCTCTTCATTTTATTGGAGTCTTCTTATAGTTGCAGCTATTTTCTTTCTTCTCCAATTTATCAAAGTTATATATCACTTGATGCAGTTCTGGGAAATCAAAATGTTTTTTAATACAGCGCTTAAAATTGCCGATAGTGAATTGGACAATTTTACTTGGCATGAGATTCAAAAGGGAGTTATAGAAGTGCAAAAGGAGCAAGAAATGTGTATTCACAAAAGAGAACTTACAGAGTTAGATATATATCACAGAATATTAAGACACAAAAATTATATGGTAGCTATGATCAACAAGTCTCTTTTACCAGTACGGCTAAAATTTCCCATTATAGGAGAAGTTATCTTCTTGACACGGGGACTGAAATATAATATAGAATTATTATTGTTTTGTAAGTATACCTCATAATGTGTGCGATGAGTAAATGTTGCCAAAAGTGGAGAGAGAATTAATCTTGATTTTTTTTTTAGGGGGACCATGGTCACCATTTGAAAATAATTGGCACCTAAAAGAAGATTATAAAAAGTTGAACAAAAGGCAAGAACTCGCACGATTATTATCCAAACATATCTTGTGGGTCGGTATCGCAAATTTTATTTTGTGTTTTCTCATTCTCCTGTGGCAAGTTCTCTACACATTCTTCAATTATGCTGAGGTGAATAATAAACTTTTCTAGTTATGTGTTTTCTCAATGAAAATTTTAACATAATTATATATATATATAATAATTAATATTCTCTAGTGTAATATACTCAGATAAAACATATTATTGACAGACCATTAAGCGAGAACCAAGCGTTTTAGCGATGCGCACGTGGTCCCTGTATGGTCGGCTATACTTGCGTCACTTCAACGAACTCGATCACGAATTGAACGCCCGTCTTAGTCGTGCGTACCGTCCTGCTTCCAAATACATGAGCAGCTTCACGTCTCCGATAATGACAGTACTCGCCAAGCACATCGCATTCATCACTGGTAGCATACTAGCGGTGCTGTTAATTATAACAGTGATTTACGAGCCGATATTCTCGATGGAGCGCGTAGTCGCCTACATGACTATGCTAGGCGTCGTAGCTGCAGCCGCAAAAGCAGCAATACCCGACGAAAATCTGGTCTGGTGTCCAGAGACTCTTCTAACTGCTGTGCTGGCTCATACACATTATAGACCGGATAGTTGGCGGGGTACCGCTCATACGCTGAACACTAGGTCTCAAGTATCGCAGCTATTCCAGTACCGCGCGGTACATCTCCTGGAAGAGTTGATTTCTCCATTCGTGACGACGTACATTTTGTGCTTCCGTATGCGACATCGAGCTTTAGAGATTGTAGATTTTTTTCGTAACTTCACTATCGAGGTTGCCGGAGTCGGAGACGTGTGTAGTTTTGCCCAGATGGACGTGCGCAAACATGGCAATCCTATGTGGCAGACTGTGACGCACAGTCCCACAGTTTCTCCTTTACAAGAAGAAGAGCGTAACATCGGATACGGTAATCGGTATGGTGTCGATGTCGATAAGTACTACATATCGATGTCGAATCATTATACCCAGGCGGAAGACGGCAAGACCGAATTGTCTCTTATACATTTCACCCTAACGAATCCTGAATGGAAACCGCCGTCCCACGCGGAGGATTTTGTGACTGCTTTGAGAGAAAGGGCTAAAAAAGAAGCGACTGCGGATCCTGATCCTTATAACAATCCGCTGATAGCCAGTTTAAATAGTTTATCCGGTCTTGGTGTAAGTATTAATTTTTTTTCTTTTATTCATTGAATAACTCTATGAGAATTATTTTTATGCTTTGATATATCATTACAGTATAAGGAACACGTGTCAAATATTATTCGGAGCACGATGAATCAAATGAGTGTACCCAGTATGAGCAACATTTTTACAAATCAACCGAGCACGTCGGCTATGTCAGTCGGCGTTGATCAATCATTCAACGCAAAGTCTACTATACGTCGAGGTGTATCCAGGAAGGAAGGTCCATTGCACAATGAGAGAGGATTCCTGTACGGTCTGCAACAGGGAATATCAAATCAATCGTTAGGTGCTTCTGTGTTCGGATCAGGCCACAGTTATGTCATTGAAACACATGCAGATCCGTCAGTACCAACGGAATTAACCGCTGCCGACATGTCTTTGTCTACATTGTACCTGCATGAGCTTCATCATAGACAAGTAATACAATTTATATATTCATGATGTCTCGAATTTCCTGAATACAATGCAACAAAAAGTTACAAGCAATCTCAACCAAAATGTTTAGCTATATCAAATATAAGAATGTTTGAATTGCAGGTAAGAAGAAGAGGCTATCAGGAAATGGCAACGAGAAGTATATGGCAAGGAAGTCCGGCTCAAGAGCTAGCAGCGCTTCCTGAAGTTAGGCAAGAAAGAGTACCTCTTTTATTGCATCAAGATTCTTCTTTAAGGAAAAACAGAGAATCTTAACACTAGGCTTGAAAGTTTATTTAAATAGCGTCCGATTCTCGCGCAATAATCATTTTAGTGAAATAAAGTGATTTTTACTTGAGTTTTATTATGACGAAAAATTTAACGATTTTTATTTTATAATAAATAAGTAGTCGCAACACATTCGAGAGTGATATCGTCTCTCGAAGTGTTATGTAAAAAATTACGTCTTCTAAATATTCTTAATATTATACAATGCAGAGAAAAGGACATAGGCTTCTTTCTCTTTCTTCTCTGCATATGGCCAACGATTTAATAACGCCTATTCTTAATGTCAAGGACCTATATATAAACCTCTAAAAACTTATATTTTATACATAAAACATTCATACTTAATCGCAATTATTTTTTGACTATTTGGAGACTCTGCTTAAAAAAACATTTATTTTAAAAAATTGGACTAGTATAGCACAGTCTATACAAACGATAGAGATATTTTAGAATATTTCAAAAAGGATGTATAGTTCTTTTACTAGTAGCAATATATGTGTGTGTACAAATTTTGTCAATATTGACATTTATATGATTTAGAATCCCTATCATTGAACAAAAATATGTAACAATGATTTCATTATTTACATAATATGATATAAAAAAGCTAATTTTGACATATTGTGCATTAAAAAATTTATATAATTGCTTATGACATTACATGAATATAGTAAAAAAATAAAAAAGAGAGAAAAGAAAAAAGCTTTTTAAAGTTAAAACTTTTTTAAAAACAAGAAAAAGAAAAAAAGTTTTTCAATCACGCTGATTTCTATGATAGTCTAACTTTAATTCAATAGTTTGCTATGCTATTATTAAAAGTATATTTGCATGTATTGAAATTTTTGTTTGTCGAGTAATGAATATTTCAAATCTAAATAAGTTTAATATAAAGAATAGTATAATCTTTCGATAGAAAGCTAAAAGAGATAATGCAACATTTTTATATTCAAATATTAGATAAACGCGTAATTTACATGTCTGATAATTTTAATGACCTCTCAATGCCACGATTCTCTAGTCATACGAAATTAATATCGCGCCGTAGCGCACTTCTCTTTTAAGACGAAGTGGTCCTATTTATTTTTAACATTTTATTTTTATTACTAGCTACTTTATATATATATATATATATATATATATATATATATATATATATAAATATATAAACAAATTTAAATATATATACAATATTATACATGTATATATATATATGTATGTGTGTATATATATATATATATACTTATGTATATTTTGTGTATTATATATACATATATATAAACAAATTTAAATATATATACAATATTATACATGTATATATATATGTGTGTGTGTGTATATATATATATATATATACTTATGTATATTTTGTGTATTATATATACATATATTATGACGGCGGCTGAATATTGATTGGCTAGGGTAATTCGTAGAATTACGTGTACATAAAATCGCGATATTTTCAAATGCCGCGATAACAATAATGGTTGAAAGACAAGTTACGTTTTGTCCTTCGACATAATGGAGGTTGTTATACAAAGTATATTAATAAGATAAATTTAGACTCTAGACTCTACTCTTTACTCATCTTTTGTTTATACACAACGTTTAGTAACTTAATAAGAAATCAATGATTTATAAAGCGAATTAACAGATAATAAATAATATTAAATAAGAAAATACGTTTTTTGCTAAAACTTATATCGATGTGATTCTCATAAGATGAGAAATTAGTGCTGTAAGAAACACAATTGTAATTATATCACTAACAAAAATAAATAAATTTCGTAATAAATTGATCTTTAATTATATTTATACTACATCTATCGCTCGTATTTTAAAATCAACTATCGCAAATTCTTATATTATCAATGAGACGAAATATAAAGTGTAATTTTAAAAAAATTTACAAAGTAAATACACACACACACACACACACACACACACACACACACACACACACACACATATAACTGCAAAGAAAATTAATGCATTTTGATTTTCATCGATTTCTTATATGGAAAGCTTTTGTTTTTATATAAGAATCGTGATGTGATGATCGTGCAAATATAAGAGAAAAATGACAAGCGGCAAAATGCAAATATGAACGCCTGCCAAGAAATCATATCATCAACTTCTAAGTTGGTGGATACTTCCAAATACAATTTGCGATGCAACCGCAATCTCAGTGAGAAAATGACAAAGAAGGATTTCATTTATGACATCCGTACGCCTGCACAGATCATGAAAAAGGTATTTATGCTGATGGTGACGCGAGAGCTTTACTTCAGCGATTTATTTGTAGCGATGTGAAAATCGCTTTTAAATATATTAGAATTTCAAAAAAGTTTGCATATCCAACAATAATTAATTCCTAAAGCGCACATTTTGATGCGTCAAAACTTTCAATCTACGCAGTTCGAGATGCATAAACAACCTATCATACTACCGATACAACTACGGCGAAAGCAGACTACTACTTCAAAAATGCCACATTACACAGTAATTTCCGAAAAACTGGACCGTGGAGGTAGTGGCGATGCGACTTGTGCTGTAAGTAAACATTATATATTTATGAAAAGTTTGACATTTTTTTCTTATTACCTGTATTTCGAAGCTATCTAGTTAAATAAAAAGAATTAACAATTCTTGTTGTTCGAACATTTCCTCTTTAAATATGCGTAAAGAATTATCATTTAAAATGTACATTTTTTAAAGGAACATGATGACATATTGTATTGTAATGTGCTTGTTGCATGTTGCACTTTGAGATTGTTATTATACATTTCCTTTCGATTCATTTTCATTCTTGATTTCCATTTTTTTTTTATTTATCTTTAAATATATTTTTTTATCAAATACAAGGATTGTTTAGTGTTAAAAATCAATAATTTTCTCCCTCGATGTTCCACATGTCTTCCCTACGGTAAATATACATATGTATATTTGCTTCTTTTTTTCTCAGCATTTCTTGTGCACACAGCTCTGAAAAAATTAAGATAATATTAGTATCAACGAAGCAAAAAATAAAAACTGTTCGAGACGATCAAGCAATACATTTATATCGTTTAATTATATATATACATATATGTATACCGTCATTAATTTATGTGAATTAAATACTCTAAAATTTTCCAAAGAAATAAAAGATTAACATTTTAATATGGAATAAAAATATAGATTTTTTTTGTAAAAACAAAAAATAAATATTTCATCATTAAAAATTTTCTTTCAGGTTACTGATCGACGTACTTTAGAATATAAATGTAACTTTTGTCAGGAACCAATCGCCACTTTACTTTCTCTATCTACTCACGTCAAATTTCATTGTCAAAGATACTGCAAGATATGTTACTGGATTCTGCGTGAAAACGAAACGATGGAACAGCACATCGATAATTATCATCGAATTAGGCCGGAAATTATAACAAACTTCTAGTACTTATAAATCTCATTTAAGAAAACATATTTATATTCCACAAGTGCATATTTATGTACCAAATTACATTATAATCTATATAAGAAAAAAGTTACAAAATAAATAATTTTGAAAAAAATTACAATTTTTTTATCGTCTATATACAACATTTTGCATACATATCGCGTATTGAGAGCAGCATAGCATATATTTACTTTTTTTAAACATATGTGACAGGCGTTTCTTAATTTTATTTTATCTCGACTCTCACAGTCGAGATTTACTTATCTCGTACGAGACCATTATCACATAGATAATTACTTTTCCCCATATATATATATATATATATATATATATATATATATATCATCCCAAACCTTCAGCGATTATCAACGGTGCTATTCTGCAGTTATATAAAAGGGTCGCGATTTGTCAGAATCTCGGGAATGAATAAACATAAAGGAAATTTTCGACGAGGAGAAAGACGGAGGAAATAATTTGTATTCGCAGATTATTTATCTAGACAATAAATCAGATTAAGATAATACATAAATTAGATGTTCTCTGTATTAGGGCTCTCCTCTTACAAATTCTTTTAAAATTTATATTTTATGTTGTATAAAAGATATTATATTTATAAAAAATATCGATACAACATGTAATAATATTCGTGTAAAAATTATAATTAAATATAAAATATAAGAAAATTATAATATTATTAAGAAAAATAAAATGTAAAACATAAACCAAAATTTGTATTAGAAAAAATATTAAATTAATAAAATAAGAATCGATCAATATAACATGAAAAATAAAAATAAATTCTATTTACTACACCTCTTAAACTTCAAGCAATGCGAATTGAGTTTGTTTCGTTTTAACAAATGTATAAATAATACATAAAAAAAAGATAAAAATCAATCTTTAACAAAATGCAGACTCTCTAGAGATATCCTAAAGTTTAATGACTGACCAACGCATTTATGCTATTTATTAACCTCATGTGGCGTTCCTAAATCCATGCACGTCATACATATATATATATTTATAAAAGTCGTGTAAGGTCTATAGAGATAGGTAATTTTTCCTCAATTATGGTTACCCTCATCTTCCTTGACGTTTAATAATTCCGGCGCTACAATCTTCAAAATAGCATGCACATTTTCACAGCAATTAATGCAAACAATGCTTTGTCCACGTACTGAAAGGTCCTTTGCCAGAAGCTTGACATTCTGCGAAGCAAACGATATTAAATTATGTTAATTATGATATTAACACGACAGAGAGAGAGAAAGAGAGAGAGAGAGGCACGTACGTATGTATAAATTCTTCTGTATAGAAATAATGAAATATATGTATAACTCACGTTCTTTTTATTATGCCTTTTGTATTGCTTTTTATTGATGTGTATAATATTAATCTTACTTTATAATATTATTAATTATTTGTTTAAAATAATTCTTCAATTTTTCTATAATTAATTACTTTATTATGTAGTATTACTTATATATTAATAATAAATAATTATTAATATATAATTAACTAAATTAACAAAGTTAAAAAAACTTTTATATATATATACAATATATACACACTCTTGTTTATGCATTAATAAATGACACACATTGGTAGCAACAGGTGTCATTATTAATTCATAATTCTTTAAAAATTAGTTAGAATTATTTTAATGCTTTAAAATTGCTGAAAAAAAAGCTTTAATTTTAAATCGTCTTTCCTTACAAAGTGATTGCAAAATAGAAGAATGCATACAACAATTCTCGATACTATTCAGTTATATTATATCATCTTCTTATATCTATTTGCCTGCGCGATGTTTCTCCGCGAATATATCTTGAAATGCATCTTATATTGAAATTGAGTCGTCTTTTACATCAATTGTGAGTTTATTACATACCTTAGCAACCGTAACATCGATTCTCTTCAAGTTTTTACAATCAAGTATTACATTGCATTCACTTTCTCCAGAAAGTTTCATTATGTTAGAACGCAATCGTTCTGCCGCTGGAAAAGCTATCGTCTCTTCGGGTATGGCAACTATTACGGTTTCCCCTTCAATCTTCATTAGAGAGAAAAAAAACAAATTATAAATGAGGTAGCTGTGATACAGAATTTATTCTACAGAGAATCTCGGAAAAAAATTGTATATTCGCGATAGCGATATTTTAAAATGAATCATTTATCATCATTTGCAGTTATCTAATAACATAATATGTAATAATATAATAATTTCTTTCATATTAATTAAAGAAAGCTTTTATTTGAATCTCTAAGTATCAAAATAATTGTAAATTGAGTGTATAAATATTATCTTTTAGAAATACTGAAACATAGAAAATTTTCTTCTCTCAATAAAATCTTTTATACACCTATAATATGATACGATATTTGCAAAATATTTAGTAAAATATTTGATAAAAAGATTTACTAAACAATGCATGCACATTTCGAAAAAACACATATGTATATACTTTTAATATCAAATTATTTTATATTAAAAAATCGATACGATCAATTATTATTACCTGTTCAATATTCATATTAATGGAAGGTCGTGCTGAATAATATAATAAACATATAAGATTGACAACGATGCCGATTAAGATACCATACTCCAAACTGAGAAAAACACATGGGACTAATGTCAGCAGCATCACAAAAAAATCTATCTCTACAAAAAAATATGCATGGTTATGAATTATTAGTTTATCTAAATTAAAGCGGGGTATAAAAAGCTTATATCGCCATTTAAAAACGTCGAAATATTGAAACTAATAATTAAAAAAAGAATAGAGATCAATATATTAATGCATTTTAATATTATGTTTAATCAATGAATTAAAATTTAATAAATTAGCATATATATATATATATATATATATATATATATAAATAATATAATTGCAATATCATCCTAATGTAAAGAGTTTTCATATAAAATGTTATGAAAATATAAAACATCAAACGATATCGATCAAACAATCTCGAAGGGAGAACGGGCGTCAGTGCTCTGTCTTAACAATAAATGCTATCACAAGGACGCGTTCGAGCATTATTGTTTCATGCGAGCTTTCCGAGAACATACACCACGAATGGAATCCGTGTAAGTGATGCTCTCGTGCATTGACGTTGGTTCCTTTGTGTAACATCATTCATACCATACTGGTTAAGCTGCATATACTTATATATAGATCAATTGTACCAAGATCAAGAGAGAGAATGGGAAGGAAGAAGAGATTCATCTTGGAACTTACTTCTGGCACGCCACAATAAGGCATATGTCGAAAAATCAAGCATGTAATACATGGCACATATTATGAGACCCGCCAGCGTTGCCTTAGGTATGAAACGGAAGGTAGAAGTCAATAGACTAAGAGCGAGAATTACCAAACAGCCTGTAAAAAAGGTTCCTATAGTCAGAATTGAGAAAAATACGCCACGCTTCGCTAAAGAAATTAGTTAAATAATTGAACGGATAGTTCTTTATCTATTTTTCCGTTCTTTTCTCGAAACAAATCTTTATAAAGTAAAACCGCTATCATTGCACCCTGATAGCAATTTAAATATATTCTGAAACATATTGCGTAGGAGTAAGATACATGTATATTTTGCGCATGTCAAATCAAATCGTGTATTTAAATCACGTTGGACACAAAGAGAAAAAAATGTTGGCTCTCTACTCACGTACCTGTAAATATTCCTCCCAATGGGGTTTTCACACCCGATGCATGATTGACGGCTGTTCTTGTGAATGATCCCGTAACTGGCATCGAACGGACAAACGATCCAAAAATATTGCAGACACCTAGGGCGATCATTTCCTGCGTGGCATCCAAAGATTTGCCTTTCGCTAAAATAATTCGTATTCCATTAAATTATTTTCATTAGCAGAAAACTCGAGTTCTCTCGAAAATAATAATATCATGTAAAAAAAAGATAGCAAATGCTTTTACATTAAAAAAGAGTAGCGACAAAGCGCGTTTCGATAAGTTCCTTTTACTATAAAGCCTTTATCTATATAACTTTGTAAAAACGACAATGGCAATCTGATAATGATAATGATAAAAAACTAATTACCGAAGGCTTTTGCGATGGCTATGTGCTCGATGGTCGACAGAATCGGTATCGTGAACAATGTCGTTCCCATTGCGGTGGTCATTTCCAAAAAATTGTACGTACGATTTTGAAATGTTGTGGAAAACGGTGGAGAAGCAAATGGTGGTAAACCCTGACCGATCGCACCTAGAATTCTTTGTGTTTTAATCGTAATATCAGGAAATACCTTTTTTCATATTAATATTTGAATGTGAAAAGATAATTATTCTCTTTTGTAAATCATATCTAATGATTTTGATAATTCTTGTTTCAAAGAGAGAATCACACGAGAGACAAATGCTAATTATAATATTAATAATTTAACATTAGTAAATTAGTCACGAGTAATTTTGATAAAGCATATTTCTAAAAAGTCGACCTCCGTCCTTGATGCAAAGACAAATATTAAATGTGCGAAATTCGATGATTAAAATCAAGACAAGTTAAAACAAGATTTATTATCACAAATTTTTTATTTCCGCCTGCGCATTCGATAATAAGATGACTTTTTTAAACTCAGCTCCATAATTTCAAAATATGGAGAAGAAAACATTAAATGAAATTGTAAAATTATCTGGCGACTAAGTGCTACGTTTAATTGTCAAAGTTTAGTTCAAATTCAGTAATAATGAAGTAATTACAATATTAAATAAATATATGATTTAGCTTCATTTACCTGTTAACTGGAAAGGATTTTGTTTGTTAATGTAAAAAATGTACGCCATAACAGTACCAATAATTACGACTAATGCATTACGAGACAAAGCAAGAAGCCATCCCATTTTTTGTAAAATATTTCCTGTACGCCGTCCTGGTATATTCTGGGCATAAAAAATGAAGAAATAAAATACACGCAATTTTTAATTTCTTATTATAAAATACATTGCTAAAAATTACTCAATTATATAAATATATAATCTAAAATATTATAAGATGTAAAATATAAACGTTCATTGAAAAAAAATCGATCAAAAATATCGAAAATCTTATCGATCAACAAATTAATAAAGTTCTTCACGTTGCAACAACAAATTGATAAAGTCTTCACATTGCAACATTTATCACATAGTACGAATATATAAATAAAATAAATAAATATAACAATAAATGGAATTAGCCCTTTTATATCTGATTTTGTAAATAAATAATCTTTTTGGTTTTAATAATCAAATATATCTCGAAAATTTGATGGAAATAAAAATTGATAAAATTGTATACCTTGAGCAAAACTAATATAGCGATAGTCCCAATTCCTAGCAAAGTATCTTGATACCGGATCTGATAGAGATTTTTGAAGATCATTATCAGAGAATCCAAAAAACTCTCACTTCTACCAGCAATGCCTAGAAGCGACTTAAATTGTGAAGACGCTATATTAATCGCCGCGCCTGATGTAAAGCCAGTAATTACCGGTAATGATATAAAGTCCAGTAGAAATCCTTAAATGCATATTATTGTCAGAAAAGAAATGCATATAGCAACAATATTTTTATATTTGTATCGTATTTTCTAATATGAATATTTTTTAAATATATTTTAAATTTATTTATTTTAACTTATTTTTCTTACTCCTTTTAGAAACTATGTACAACATAAACGCACCTAAATGAAAAACTCCTAGAAGCATAATAATACATCCTTTTAAAAAAGCGATTAATATAGCCATGTCAGCACCGTATTTTGCAACTAACGGTTGAACCATGGTAGCCATAATAGCTGTTGGACCAATAGTGATGTTTTCGCAAGAACCAAAAATAATATATATAAATGATGCCATAAATGCTGCATACAGTCCATACTACAAAATCATAACATTCATAGAGAAATTAAAAAGTGAAAAAGTATTTCGAAGTTATTCAAAGATGTCATTAAAATTCATTAAAAACAATGTATCAATATATAGCAACGTAATATGTCTATATCAAGTTTCATGAATAGAAAGTACAAGATTTATTAAAAAAAATATATTTTTTATAGAGAAATATATATACAATATCAATTTTATGCATATACACAGAGAATTTTCTCTTAGGATTTACCCTGAAAATCATGATAATTGTGGGTATTGGAATAATTTTATAAGAGTTTCTCTGATTAAAATATGTATATCTATTGCAATAAGATATAAAATATGTTCGATTAATTTTACTACGTACATATTAATATTTTTTATTGGTAAATATTTAATTAGAGAAATTTATAAAATTCTTCCAATACCGGATATTGTTCCACAATCATGATTTTGAAGATAAATTCTAAGAGAAAATTCTCTCTCTGTGTATAAATCAATATATATAAATATAATAGACAAGTAATGAAAGAAATATTTTTTCCGATATTATAAAAAATATTACTCTGCTTTGAAACAGCAATAGTAAGATTAGTTATTGACTTGAACGAAACAAAGGACAAACTGAATTGGTTATTTCTCGATCAGCTGTCTCTCGATCAATTCTAATCATAAAAACTCTGTCTTATTTTTTCGATAATTTTGCTATGACAAATGCTTATCATTTCGAGATAACGCGACGTAAGATTTCTGCGGGCATCGCTCTCATTTTTCGTGACCTTTACCTCTGCACTTAAACCGGCGACGATACCGTAAGCGATGCCCTGTGGGATTGCAGTGAGACCGACCGTGATTCCTGCAAGTGCATCCTGCAAGATCCACGTGGGTCGATATCGCGGAAGCCAAGTGAGTACCGGAAATCTTCGTTTGACGTAATCACCGCATTTATTCTTCTCGTACCACGAAAATTTTCCCACTAAAAGCAAAAATCGGTCTCATTTTCTTACGATATATCACGAGCGATTTAGCGACGTCAAGCGAAACGATTAAAATGATTAAGATTTCTGTTTACTTTTCGGGCTTTTTAAAGAATTTAAGAAAAATTACTTTGTCAAATAAATGTTAATGCATTCAATCAATTTGCTAAGTATAACGTACGTTACATTTTTCTTATTCATTCCATATTTTATTGAGATTTCTTTTCTTTTCTATAAAAACAGTTATAATTATATGAATTATATTTTATATTTCTTTTAAAATTTCATCTTTTTAAACAATTGCAATAATCTATTATTTTATTTATTTTTGTATCCTAAACATGTGCAGAAAGATATAATAATCCTATAAAAATATTATAATAATATTATATCATAGCTATAATATAAAATTAAAATATTACATCTCCCTATAAATATATTATAACATAAAAATATATCAAAGCTTTTTTTTATAAGAATAAACTGATATAATATTTAGCATTGTAGAACTGCAATCATAAATTATCTTGTATGCAATATATGTACATATGTATATACTTACTATCATCTACTCAAGTCTTCGACTGACACCTTGACACAAAAAAAAAATAGCAAAGACAGCGTGGATTCCTCGAGATTCACTGGTGAAATAGTTTGCAAATCTACACACAAAACGATGTAGTACACTTGTGACGAGGAAAAATAGTAAGTAGAGAAAAGGAAGCGAAAAACGGATCTGTTTGTGACACACGACCGAGTTCTTTGCTTATTCACATTTGCATCTGCAAATCGCTTCACTTTAATCCGCGAAGCATTTTATCCAGCACTTGTATAAAAAATATAAAAAGTATCAGTATAAAAAGAATCGTCGGGATAATTTTCCGGATAGTTTCTTTCAGATCAAGTCTTTCAAGAATAACAGAATTACATAACAAGATCAATGCAATTGAGTTTACCGCGCGAATTAAAAAATATCTTCTGAAAAAAAAAGTTTGAAATCATAAATTTAACTTTATCCAGAGAGAAACACATTAAGACGTTTGTTATTTCTTGTCGTGTTAGAGTGCAAATTTAATCACAAATGTCGAAAGAATAAAATCAACTCATCAACACTGAGATTTATTCACTGTATGTACACACACATGTACACAATCAACCAGCATTGAAAGCTGAGGTAACGATTTATCGCTAAATCATCAAATCGGTATTATGCAAACACTGGCATCACTATCACTGGACACGATCTCTTATTACAAAAAATTGCTTATCTTCGGAATTTAATCATTCACGTTCAACGATAGGAATACACGTCAAGAGTTGCTAGAATTATTCACACCTCATTCAAAATCTCATTCAAAATATCACGTTAAAGAGAAATTAATCTAAATCATAATCTGATTGATTCCTCATTTTCATGTAGATTAGATTAATAAATATTTTAATTAGGACAATATGTTTTGAATTGTGTAGAACATAACACAAAATAAAATTAATATTAAAATTAATAAGTAATTTTACATTAGCTATTTTTAAATTCAAAGCGAGGAAATTGCAAGTTTTTATTATTAATATATTAATCTGATATAAGATAAATAATGCACATAACAGAATTTGGAAAAGTCTCAAACTATATATACACACACAATCTGTCTCAGGTATTGTAGCACATTATGACACCGAAAATAAAAACAAAATTTATAATCCACACCACGTTTCCTTTCACACTTTTCTAAATAGAAATTCTCGCTCGAAAATCACCTACTAGCCCAATCAAATTATAGAATATACTTGCAGAAAAGATTCGATCGTAGTATGATTATATCATCGATGTGAAATCGAACTTAAGTGAATATTGCCAAGTTTTTTGCTGAGAACTGTTATGTGTGTTATGCCAATGAAGAACAGCAGCTCTCTCTCGTTACGGAAACTCTTGTGAGATTGCCGGCTTTATGGAAGCGACGAGAGACTTTATTTCTCCTTCCACTTGCTACGGAAACATCGGTCGTGAAAGGGAGACATCTGCTTTAATAAATGAAGTTCTCATGCTCAATTTCACAATAAGATTATCGTAGTGATATATATGCACAATAAGATATTGCATTTTATCAGTAATGTAATTTTGCGTCGACGAATGAAAAATAAATATTTTAAATATGTATTTTTTGTTATACAAATGTATGTATAGATATTTAATCCCAAAACTTCAATTTCAAACTCGCAAACTAAGTATATTCGAGATTTCGAATCGCGACAACTAAACTGTGACAGTTACTTTACTGCGACTGGCCAATGTTTTGTCCAAGTCGAAGTTTAGTACACATCTGTATTACGTACTCTCGACCAAGTTTAGAGTCTTTGAAATGAACAAGTATTTTCCGATTCACTGACAGTAAGCACAGATAACTCGTGACCTATAACAAATCCACGTCTCGATTGTAAGATTTCGATAGACACTCAGGGATTTAACCAGATAGTTACTTATCACAAACTTAAATGTTTGATACAAAAATAAAATTAGAAAAATAAAAAAAAAATGAATTTTATATCACTCGAACGGAATAAATTTACTCATTCTTGAAAACATTTAACAAAGTGAAATAATAAGAGGTTTTAATGAATATACATGTATTCTCTCCTCTACCGATATAAAATTGTAAGACAATGTACATAATTTATTACACAGAGAGAATTTTCTTTTAAAATTTATCCTGAAAATTATGGTAATCGTAGGACAATATGATATTGGAAGAATTTTATAAGAAAAAAAGTAAGACTCTTCTCTCGACCGTACTGGCAAATATTATTTATTAAATCACAACGTTTCGACCCTTCTTTGAGTCTTATCAAGTGATCTAGATGTACATAGAGAAGAAATACAGTACAGAGATTAATACAATAAAAAAATTACTTCACTTAACAATATTACAAAATAATAAAAAGAAGCGAAACATATTTTCACAAGTATGTTTCGCTTTTAATTATTTTGTAATATTGTTAAGTGAAGTAATTTTTTATTGTATTAACCTCTGTACTGTATTTCTTCTCTATGTATATCTAGATCACTTGATAAGGACTCAAAGAAGGGTCGAAACGTTGTGATTTAATAAATAATATTTGCCAGTACGGTCGAGAGAAGAGTCTTACTTTTTTTAAATTCTGTCTGGCGATTCTCAAATATCTATGTTTTTATAATTTTATAAGAGTTTTTCCGATTCAGATTTACCATTTAAATAAAAGATATTTATATCTACCACAATAAGATATGTTCGATTAATTTTATTATGTATACACATATTAATATTTTTTATTAATTTTCAGGGTAAATTCTAAGAGAAAATTCTCTCCGTGTACATACGGCAAATCAAATTTTCTAACGCTTACAATACTGAAAACCATGCACTGATAATTAAATTTTAATCTCCGTTTGCTAATATTTTTTCGTCTCTTTCTGTCTCTCGCCATTCCTATTACTCCGATCAGTTTTGCACGCGAGACACAACACCACAATGATTGACCGATGTTGGCTTAGCAGAAGAATTTGCCGCACAGATGTCATAAATCGCGTCCGAATACGGTTTTCCAGGCTCGGAGTCCTCCACGGGAATGAACCGCGATGATAAATCATCGAGGTCGAGATCGTGCCACTTTTTTTTTTCTTTCTTCGCGCGGTTTCTCTCTTTCATCGAGACGCGTCGCGCCGCCGAAGAGGGCCTAAAAGGGTGAACTGTATGAGGGTAGAGGGTGCAACGCCTGCGCGATGCTACGATGCTCGTGTTTGTGTATGCGTGCGCGTTCCCGACGATGAATGAGTCGCTCGGTGCTTCAGTGCTGCGCGAAAAAGCGAAGCTGTCCCGCGACAGCAGCATCGAGCCGAGCATCGAGAAGAAATGTGCAAATATTCACATTTTGGGAACTGCGATTCGTCGATCGATTCGATATCATACTGACATTTTTTTCATCTCTTAAAACGCAAAGTTCGAAATAAGATCGTACGACTTTTAAAAGCTCTAAAACTCTAAATAATATACCTGTTTGATTTTGCAAGAGAAGGTACAAATCGCATTCGTCGATTGTTGATTTGTATATTTGTAGATACACATAAGTATAATTTTTTAGTCGCTTCGGTTATCGATATCTGAATTATTGAAAATGCGAGGGACTTTTTATATATCGTGGAACTGTCAATTACTTTTATTATTTGTCAATTTATTATTTTAATTGCATTGACATTTTTCACCGGATAACTTTGATGAACAAATTGTGAAGTTTTTCATAAACCACTGATTTAAAAATACAAATCCCGGTCAGAATTAATGAGAAATTATATGAAGTAAATGGAGACAAAAAATTATCAATTATTTTATATTGATTATTGTCAATTATTGAGTTTCGTCATTTGTAATCAATATAGATAGATCAATTTTGATTACTTATTTAATAGTATATTTCATAGTAATTCATTTGCATAGATTTAAAATTTTTAATCTCTCTTTGCTACTTTTCGAAAACTGCATAATATAGAATCTTAATATCATACAATATTTACATTCTTACTCTTGCGAATATTTGAATGTATGTGTATGGAAATGAGATACATATTCTTCGTAATCATTTCGATCGACTTATATTTTAATTGAGAAAATTTAGGTAAAATTGTTCGTTTTTAGAATTATAACAAAAACGTATTAAAGTTATGAGATTTTAATTTTCTACATTATGACATATTATCTCATAGTTATACATTTATTAAACCAACACGATAAATTTTCATAGAAAACTGATAAAAGTTTTGACAGTTTGATATGTGACAGAAATAAAGGAATTGCAAAAAGCTAAAAATGAGAAGTATGCTGTTGATACTGACGTCAATGATATTCTCCAATAATGTGAAAGTTTTAACTTTAAGAAAGTGACTGAGAAAGTAATAAAAAAAAGTCGCGGTATTTTCAAGAGATCACAAGATGTCATGTCAAATGCCACATTACTGAATCTACAAACTATTCGTATAAAATGGAAGATGTCATATATATAATTTGTCGCTTCGACTTACGTGCAACGATCAAATTATTTGTTACGAGTTTCCGGTGATTGCAAGGTCAACCACATATTGGATAGAAAATGCGTAGAGAACAGACTTGAAAAATGAATCTTTCCCACGTCCGAGACAAATAATAATCATGTTCGAAGGACAATACGAAACGGTATAAGTATCTTATAATTACGTCGTTGATACTCGTTAATCATTCTTTCTTAATGTCCTTTCTCTGATGTGTTGTGACCCAAAGTGTTTCTCTGTACGAAAGGAGTTGTCAACGAATTAATGAATTAAGAATTTGCATTATGACGATATATACGTAATCTCGTTTAATAAAGGGTGCAATAACGATGCCGTTCTAGCGTTGTGATTATGGAAATTAATTTACACGGTGAAACAAATTAAATTACTGCAGTGCGCGTTAATGCAATATATATATGAAACTCGGCGAGTCTCGGCGATAATAAGACACTCGAGAGGAGAAATGAAGAGATTTTAATCTTAAAAGGAGAGCACGACATATACATATATGCTCACCTTGTTTCATTCGCCGCACTATTTGTCGACGCCAGAAATTCATTAACGCGGCTTCGAGCTTGCATTCATCGTTATTCTGCACGTTGCAACGCGGCGAAGTGCATCGGCGACAAATTAGCGGAACAACCGCTGGCAAAAACGCGTGAAAAACGAGGCTGCAACTGTCTCTTGATTTCGACATTTCCTCCTACACCATGAACATCTTGATGTACATCGTCCAAAACGAATACCAAGAGTCCTCGAGAGAGATTGCGAAGCAAAATGCTGTAATGGCACGTACGGAGATTGATTTTGTCGACCAGGATATGACGAAGTAAGTATTTTCGCGAGTAAATTGTAATTGAAATTTATGTCGTCAAATCAGAGTTATTAGTAACGTTTTTCAATTTCTGCGTCTATTACTTTCATAAGTTAAGTAGCTCGATTCTTCTTACTTCTGCGCTTAATTTGAAATTCCGACGTTTATTACATGCTAGAATAGAATTTCTTTATATCAGATTAAATCAGATTCCGCTCTCTCTTGTAGACAAATTATAAAGTGTAGCTTTTACCTTGTCAATCTGAAGAAAGTCATTCTAATTTATGGTGTTATTCTTTTGAGAATTTATATTCTAATTTTTTTAATATTAAAATTAAAAATGTTAAAATTAAAGTGGATATTTTATATTTTAAAGTGCGTTTTGTATCTCTAGATAAAATTAATGATAATATTTAATGTTTACATATATGTATAAAAGCTTTTTCTATTACATTACAAATTTTTCAAATTAAAAATATTAATGCTATGCTCTTTTCAAATGACAGTTTGACAATTTGTAAAAAAATTATAGGTATATATATAAAAGTATATATAAAATACACAATAGTAAAAGGAAAATAGATACAAGACAAGATAATAAAGAAAGACAATTTATCGATAACATTCCACAAAAAGATGATTCACTTCTTGCTATTTCTTGTTTTTATTGATGTGTGTATTGTGTTTATATAAATTTAAAAATATATAAAAATATTATTGCATCGACTATATCGATTATAATTTGTTAAAAAAAACAACGTTATTTGATAGAAAATCGTTGTGTCATGATTGGATTTCTCGAGTCCATGATTTTTTTGTTTTCTCTTTTTATCTCAATTTTGTTTCCGCACAAGTTATCGAATTGTTCGCGAATCTATTTTATGAAATTTTATTTATACGAATCAATAGTTTATTTCCACTAATTATGTATATCGAACAATTATATCAATAAATTGTATTAAACGATAAAATAAAATAGCAAACATAAACAAAAACGTTTTTCCTTATAAATTTTCTCTATTACATTATATTTTAATATATTATTGAAATAGGATAAAATAAAAATTCATTAAATCAAATTTTGTGTGATAATAAAAGTACAACAACAACAAGTGACAAGTTATATGATATTACTAATTATATTATAAAGTACGTAATTCAAAAACTGAGATAAGAATGTTTACAACAGTCACATATTTCAGTTTAATCAGTATCAAAATAATTATCATCACATTTACCCTTCCACGACAGTTAGACGACTCTAACGAAATATTACATCGTACCGACACTCGTCACGAACATAAATCAAAATCATTAGAAGATTGTTAATTTAATATACAATATTTAAAGAAAGCAATGCACTATGCACATTAATCAATATAGATTATATCGAAAGTATTTTCATAATACTACACTGATTTTTTATTTATTGATTCGAAAATTATCAAAATATGTACTTTATACCTAGAAAAATCGTATAGATTTAATCTGTAAATTCTTGACTTTATGATTTAGATATGGTTATCCAATAGTATACTAACTTTTACTCTTTTCATCACTTTTATGCTTTAAGCTTTAAAACTTTTCTGCAGAATAGTTTTAGATACTATTAAAATTTCTTGAAAGTAAATGAGCAGCACGTTTTTTTATATAACTTCTTCCAACCTGTCTTCTTTCAAACTTTGAAAACACAACATATATTGTATTTATTACATTGATTTATATTAATTTTATATATAAAATTTGTTTTTTATATAACTATTGTATTTATAATATTTATTATTTCATTTATTATTTCAAATTTTTATAGCATTTTATTATCTTATTTATCCTATTTAAAATTAACAGGTAATTGTGTAATATCAATTTGTTATATGTTTATATTTGCCTATATAAAACTCTTTCTAATTAACTAATATTTCTAAATAATACGATATGATTATATATGTAAATCGTTTTCAAGACATATATATTTCTTGTCTCATTCTTCTTATTTTTCTTATCAAAAATTGTTATGTGCAATAATACGTGAATAAAAAGGTTGCAGAATTTATCGAGTTTGTCTTGCGTAAGCAGTAGATAAATTTTGACATTTCCATGAAATAGACAATTCGTTAAAATGTCAAACGTGATACGCCTTCCATTATTTTTGCCCACGCATGAAGATATCGGAGTGATTTACTTTTCGATGCGTGTGACAAGCGATACTTTATACATTGAATTCTTAAAAAAGAAAAACCACATGCAACTATATCTAGAGTCTAGACAATTGTAATTTAATTGCATTAAATTAAATCGAAATACTATATTTATTATCGAAATACTAATAATATATCATCAATTAGTGACTTTTGCATTAATAATTACTACTATAAATTCATGTATATTATTATATTTATTATCTAATTATGAAAATTAAACTAAATTAAGTTAAATCACTGATTTATAATAGAAACTCCTTTCAGTTTTAATCATTTTTCAGGCTTTTTTTTTTAAGTATCACGTTTTAAATTACAAAATATGGTGACCAACAATATAAAATGAATGATATTGTAAGAGATATCTCAAACCGATCAATTTTACTAACACGATTCTACAAAATTTGGAGCTGAATTGTCCATAATAAAAAAAATTATTCTAAAAAAAGATTCAAGGGTCTAAACATCCAAGCATCCAAGGATTTTTAGGAATTCCACGGTCTAAAACTGTATATATGTAACAAAAAAAATATTCAAATGTCTATAAAGACTGGGAATAAAAAGATAATCTGGGAGATAAAAGCATTCACTCGTCAAAAAAATTAAAAACTATTTACAAAGTACACATAATTCAACTGCGAAAAAACATTTTAATTAAAATATAAATGTTTCTTTTAATAAAAAACGAAGAGAGAAAAAAAAAAAAAAAAAACATTGTTTGGTTAATACATATTTAATGTATCTATTGTGTTATAAATGTTACTACTAAATGAAAAACTTTAATATATCTTTTAAAATCTCATTATTCCTTTCATCTTTATCTTAATAATAACATTTTATTTATTATTCTAAGCAACTGAATCTTGAATAACATTTCCTATAGTCTATACACGTATTTATCACTCGGATGAAATTTTCGTTAAAAATAATTATAAACTGTATAATTATAAAATAAAATAAATAATAAATTGCTTTGAAAATACCAATATAAGCCATAAGTTTAATTTTAATAAGAAAATATTTGGTTATAAATTCCAAAACATTAGAGACATATATGTATATATGTATACATACATACATGTAATACACATTTTAAAAAATTTTTGCATTTTTACGCACAATTTTTACATAATATACAAAAAGAAATTTTGCAACGTGAATTTCTTTCATATATTTTATCTGGCAAGCTTTGCTTTGGTTGGTTGCTCGTGGTAAATATAGTTCTCGCCAAATTGCACGAATTTAGAATTAATTACTATGGCTAATAATGCTTCCCAACTCGCAAACTCTTGCTTTACTTTATCGACTTTGCTTACGCTAGTTTTCCGCCAGATGAATTTAATTACACTACATTTTGGTGGAACAATTAAAATTGAAAGATCCACTAATTATCTTGGTGCGGTGTACGATTAATTATCCACATATAGTTTTAATTATTTTTGTAATAACTGCGAAGTTTTTTGAATCTAGTTTCTATGCAATGACATGTTTTCGATTTGCATCATTAATAATTAAAAAATCTCATAAACATACACCGAGTCTCTATATGCAATTATATGCAAATTAATTATGACTGATTTACACTTATTGTTAATTTAATTGTAATGTAAAGTAAAATATATTTATAATAAAAATCGACTAGATTATTTATCACATGTAATACCTTTTATTTAAAGTAAAAGAAGCAATTAATTTCATATAAAAAATATTTGTGTGTAATTATACTAATACAAGACATAAATATTTAAACTTGATCAAAATCACGGTCAACATAATTTACTGGCAAATATCTATAATGCCATAAATTCTCTATTTTGTAGCCTACCGTCACGAATTTAGATATACAGTTATATCGATCAAAAACCTGATAAAGGTATCCATAATATATGGATACAAGTAATTGTGTAATCATCGGTAGTTATCTGCTTAATTTAATATTATTTGCTTGTTTTGATATACGAAAAGCACATATAATTAGTTAATTAATTAACGAAATAATCGCACGAATCATTTTTATTATAATTTCAATGAAAATCGATATAACATGATTATAATTCTCAAATAGCTCAAATTTCAGTATTTTTTCTAAATTAATATAATGTGCTTTAATTATGGATATTTTTAAATATAGAATTAATTAATACCAGCAATTATGTAATGCCAAAAATAATCGTTTTTTCAGCTTTTCTTTATTATAAATTATATATAAATTTATAACTAGCTTCGTACTATTTTAATTATTTTAAAAATATCTTTAGCATTAAATTTAAACAACTTTATTCGTGCGAAACAATCTCGATTTTTAAACAATACATTGATTAACAAAAGAGAATACTGAATGTAACTTCCTTGAACAGGGAAATGAATTTATTTTTAAATGCTATTAGCGAACGAGTGCTGCTATTCACAGAAAATCAACACAAACTGACATGATTGACAAAGACCAACGTTATATTACCAGAACGTAGTGTATCTGTCGGATTGATTAAAGTCAGAGTGCAGTCGGCTATCATTAAAGCCCGAATCCGAGAAAATCCGAACTTGGCTCTTTCTCTATGTGCTTTTTGAACTGCTTTTTTTGTTTTCTAATTTTATTTTATTTCTTTTAAAAATCGCGATATAGAAAAATCGTGGAGAAAAGTTACGGTCGGAATTAGCAATTTAATCTCGCAAAAGAACAAAGGGAAATCTGTGCAAGAAGAATATACGTGACTTATGGTGAATAGCTTGCAACTTCCGACAAGTTAAGAATTTTTATAATGGACTTTATAACTCTTTTCCTCAGACATCGACCTGATAATTAACGAGAAAACTCAG